CTCACTGTCAGAGAGCAAAGATGACAGTTCCAGTGTTTGCCTCTCTACTGAAAGATCATTCCTGTGCTTTGCCCCTGAAAGCCACCCTGAAGTTTCTGCCCATCTTAGGAGGGCCATGTCTTTGGGTTTTGCGGGGTTGAATGAGGTGGTGGCCCCTAGGATTGGCTTGGAGCAGTGCAGCTGCCAGTTCTCCTATGCTACCTGCTTCCGTGGCCTGCAGCCCGAGACAGAGGAAGAAGACAGGAACCCAGAAGCGTACCCCGCTGCCCCCCTCACCTCACCACCCTCTGCAGGAACCCGGCTTGTTCCACCCTGGATGCCTGCCCGGGCCCACAGCTGCAGCACCGCATCCCTGTCAAGGAGAAACCACATCTGGCCAGAGTACTGCTCCAGAGCATTGAGACAGCTGAAAGCCATCCCCACTGGCACCCCTGAGGGCTTCCTCCAGCTCCTGGAGAGTTTGTTAGAGCTCCAAGACATTTTAGAAACTTCCTGGGGGAGTGGGCACAAACATCCCCCAGAGAAGTGCACCTGGCACTTTTTGGAAAGCCGGAGCCACCTCTGCATGGGCTCACAGAAGCTGCTGTCAAGCTGTCAGCACGTGATCAGAATGGACCAGTCCCCTGAGGAGATGCAGCGCGCTGTGCGTGACACCTTCCAGCACCTGGTCCAGCTGGCTGGCCTGTGCTTCCAGTTCACGGACTGCAGCCGCTGCTCTGCACGGCACAGGGAAGCCGCTGGGAACCTCAGGGATGTAGTTTACACCTACCACCAGTTTGTAGAGGCTGCAAGATTGACCTGTGAGAGAGGCTACCACGACCTGAGTGTGAAACTCTTGGCCCGTCAGTGCACAGCACTCACAGCTGCCGTGTTCTGTTTGACCCAGAAGTTCCGGGCATCCACTGCCCTATAAACAGGGGTCCCCTATCCTGAACACTTCCCTAGGAAGCCCTGCCCAGTCCCCCTCACCCCTATCAGATGTTTACTATGTAGAGTATTCAAATAAACTGCTGCTTAGTCTTGGCCTGACTCTTACAGAGTAATGATACGTTTGGGTGAGAAGCATTCACTCAGATTCACTTAACAAACATTTACTGGATACTTCTTGTGTACCAGGCCTATTCTAGGAGCTTGGGAATTACAGGCAAATAACATGACACCCTGGCCAGGATGCTCACAGACGCTCCAGGTACAGATTAGTAACTGCCCATCAGTGGAGCATACCCAGGGGTGTGGATGCAAGAGGAAGCTACAGATTTTTTCCCAAGAAGGCAGGAATGGGGAAGGAACGTAGAGGTCACTGAAAAACAGTTTTGGTTTCTCCTAGCACACTTACCAATAACCTTTGCATACAGGGGTAAATACACGTGCTGTTTTATAAATTCTACCTTCCCCAATTTTGGGCAGCACCCAGAGAGCTGGAATTCTTGGCTGCCTCGCTGCAGTAAGCATAGGTTGCCACTAGGTGGCAGTAAGTCCCTTAGTTGCAAGGCCACCACATGATTTTTTTGGAAATTGATTGCACTCCAGAATCTTGAACCCAATTTCTGTTTTAAATATGTAAAAGGAAAACACTGAAGTCCTGAATTATATGTTTGTTTTTAAGAACATTAAAGGAAAAGAAATACATTCCATAGCTTTTCAATATCCTCAACTGAGCAGGCCAGGGATTTAGCTCGGTGGCACAAGCATCTGCCTGGCTAGCACAAGGTCGTGAGTTTGATCCCTGGTATGAAAGAAAATCTCATCTGAGCCTGTTATTCCTGGTTAACTATGGACAAGCTACTTACCCTCTTAGGGTTCTGGTTTTCTCATCTGCAAGTAGAAATGCTAACATTGCCCAGTTAATAAACCCAGTTAATAAACCCAGTTAATAATTGCCCAGTTAATAAACCCAGGAAACACTGATCTAGTAAACTCTGGATATATGGTAGTAATAGCCTTCAGTTTTTATGGAACTTTCCTAGTCTGAAACTTGTCTCTACGTTTTGTCCTCGGATAGCCTGTAAACTCACATCAAGACTCCTTTAGGGGTGCCTTCGCCATGGCTTCTCCAACTAGGCCACAGGTGCTTTAGGGGTTCACTGTGGTTTACTAGAGGTCACTAAGGGGTCCTTCTATCCCTCTGGTACTCCTGACCAGTTGTAAACTCACTGCTATCTGTTCTCTGGTTGGGCTTCCTAATTTCTCCTCTTCCTCTAGCAAAAGTAGAATCAGGGATAAATGTGTTAACTCACATACCTAAGCTCTCTCCGATCAGAAGGAAAGAGAGAGAGAGAGATTCTACCCATTACCCTTACCGGTTACTTAACTCTTAACAAGTTGGTTAATCAGTATTTGGTTAATCAGGAAAAGATTTAAATTCTTACACAACTGCCTCTTTTGACAAAATACTTAAAGTTAAGTAAGGCTTTTGAACATACATTTGAAGTGATTTCATATCAAAAATGGGGATAATACGACACTAAATATTTTTTTTAATTGTCCAATGTTAAACAGGACTTGAAATTTTTGTCATCAGAAAGCTCTAAAGAGCTAAATAATTTCTTTGTGTGAACATCATCTATATGTTCAGAAGTTTAGAGAAGCAGTGCAGAACTCCACGCAGTCAGGGCCGGAATGCTGGCCATGGCCTGGGTTACAGACACTTCTCTGGGCCTCAGTTTCCCCTCTGTCAGAGGGAAATAGCCACCTGATTAGGGATTACAATGTGCCAAATGCCTTCTTTAGATGGTGCAAACACATTTTTTAACATGACTGCCATTCTAGGGATCGTTACAAAGTGCACATTCAGCGTTTTTGTGAGATAGTCACGGAGGCAGGAAAAAGGCTGGAGCCTCCAGATCAGGCATTCGGATGTTTGCTTTTTTCTTTTTTTCTCCTCTCCTCAAGTCCATTACCTTTCTTGGATTGCTACTGCATGGAGTTTGTCTTTTTCCTTGCAGTTCCCTCGTAGAAGGAAACCAGAAGGTCCCAGAAGTTGTTGGAACTCTTTAAAGGGCCTTGGAGACACACAGTCTCCTTACACTAATGAGGTGGGTGGGCTGCCTACTCCACAATGCAAGAGTCAATATTTAATAATCAAGTAATTACTGGATACTTACTCCCATTCTTTCCTTTTTCCACCCACCATTGCACAGGCTGATTTAACCTTTTCAACAAATGTTTACGGTACAGCCATGCCAGATGATGCCTGATACAGGACTATGAGTATAAATAATTGGGTGGAAATTCTTTTTGTAAGAATTGCCAGTAGAGGTTAGATGAAATATACAGATAGAAAAATAACATACAATACAGTGTGCTGAGGGCCACCAGTGAGAAGGGTGCCATGAGCCTGTTATGCAAAAGAAAAGTCATTTGAGTAGCGAGAAGCAAAAGAGTAATCAGAAGTGGCTTCCTACAGTTGGTGGCATTAATTAGAACTAGTATGTCAGGAAATATTTATTGAACATCATGTGTCAAGTCTTAGATTTGGTAATTAGGATTTGGATGTGTCAAGAAAGTAGAAAAATTATTCTGTCAAATGTTTACTTGGTAGTGACGTTGGAAATACAGCCACACACATGGCGGACACAGTCTCCTCTAAGAACTTAGGAAAATAGGGAAAAAACACATTACTGATGGAGAAATGATACTGAAAAACAAAGATGCCAAGACAGGAATGGGATGAGCCCGTCTGGCCTAGGGTATCCAGGAAAGCCCTTTCAGCAGAGGGAGGGTTTGAGCTGAGGCCTAAAGGATCAGAGCCAGCCACAGAAAACATGAGAGACAGAGAACAGTCCTTGAAAAGGCCCTTGGTGTGTTTGATGCTTTTCAAAACCAGTACAATTTGTTTGCTAGTTGTCTGGCAAACAAATGTGGAGGTGGGAGAAACAGAAACTCCCAAAAACCTTTTCTTTCCCCTGGAGAGTAGCCACAAACTTAAAGAGGTGAAAGGAAACAAGAGTGTGGGCTTAGGGGTACTTAGTAAGGCTAAGAGTGAGGTTCAGGGACTGGCAGGTGTGGGAGTCATGCGTGAGTCAAGGAAGATCATTTGAGCCCTTTTCCAGCCAAACTGGGGCATTCCAGCGGGCAGTGTGTAGCCAGGGCCAGCCTCTGAGCAGAGAAGAGCTGAGAGAGCTGAGGTTTAGAGAAAAATGTTTCATGATAGCGTGTGTAAACAGAGCTGAAACACGGGTTGGGAGGCACTGTGCAGAGAAAAGCCCAGAAGAGAAACTGAGCCTGAAAGGGATCCAACAAGTCTGTTGTTTCAGAGGGAGATCTATTTCAGACTCACTGGTGGAAAGGTCTCTGATAAAAAGTGAGGCCTCTAGGATTGCAGGAGTGAAGGGAAGAGTGGTGGACAGGCCTTGGCCACACTAGAGGCTCCTAAGGAGGGACAAACCACTTCAGGCGTCTGGACTTCAGTTTCTCTGCTGAGATGTGAAGGGAGATAAAGGAGGAAGAGTAACTGGAGATTAGACTGCTTGGCTGCCAAAACCTCAACATATGTATCTTTAGTGAGCCCAGATAGCCAAATAGCATAAAGAGGTGTGTTCTCAGGAAAGAGCTGTGGACCCTAGTTAGGAAAGCAGGAAGCTGGCAAGGTTCCCAGGCTGAGAGATCAGTATTTCAAGACTTGATTTCACCCCAGTTTACAGATATCCAGCCCCTGACAGAAAACGAACAGCTTGGTCACCTACAGGTGCTAGGTCTGGTCAGTAAGGGGCTGGGATTGCAATCAACCAACAGGCGGGAGAACTGAGGCTCGAAGCCAGTAAAACCTCCGTACCAGACGCTGGACACCAGCAGATGAGGCGGCTCTGATCATGGCCCCGCCCACCAATCAGCCAGATTGAAAACTACAATTCCCAGGATGCCACTCGAAGCGGAGTCCAGAAACCGGAAGTGGGATTAGAGGCAAGTGGTGCGCTTCCGCGGTTGCGAATGGTAGACAATTACCGGAGCCGGTTGGGAACCACGGACGTGAGGTGGACGTCGGGGAGGCGGTGGTAAGGTCTTGTGGCGGTGTTAGCCAGCTTCTTGCTGCTTCTACTTTCAGCCTCTGGCATTTGAAGCCTGCGAGCCAGGCAGGACCTCGGGCCTGGCGTCCCAGTTCTGCATGTGCCGGAGGCGTGGAGCCGACTTCCGTGAACCACAGTTCAAAATGAGAGAATTATGCACTAAGTAAAACAGAACAAGTTAGTGAAAAGCTGCATCAAGTTAGGAAGATAGTTACAAAGAAAAATCATTGGAGGGCTAGAGAAAAGCAGATGCAAAGGCCTCTATCTTTGGTATTTTTGGGTAACATCAAGTCGTCTAGAGTGTGGAGAAAATTATGGAAAAGGTAGGCGGTTATGACTGGAAGGCATTGTGTGGATTTGGGCTTGCTGCAGTTAAAGTGGAGAATACTTCAGGGCTCTAAGCAGAAGGGTGATATGATTATCAGATATTTAGATTTGTTTTATTTTTTGTTTGTTTTTTTGTTTGTCTGTGAAGCTGCGCCTGTGAATTCTTACTATCTTTTCCCTTGAAGTACTTATTATGAAACAGGGAAATAGACCAACTGTCATGCAAGGGTAAGTCTGGTATTTGGAGACACTTGAAGGCAGAATGAATCACCCTCAAGTCTCCAGCAGGAACTGTCATTGTGTTAGGCGCTTAGAGCATTGTTGAATGATGAAGTATGGCTCAAAAAATATTTTTGAATGAAAAAATGAGATGCTAAATCGGGACATAAGAAGGCTCATACAGTTTCATCAAATCTATGCTTCATGATTCCCTTCTCTTTCTAGGGATCCCTAGGTGAGAGCCTCCTGTTCAGCATTTACTAATCTTTCATTCTTGTCTCAAGTGTTATGCCAATCACCAAAAATACAAAGGTGAAAGAGAGGCCATCTCTGCATTCAGGAGTGAAAAGTCTGCGATATTATTGCAGGTTCCTTGGAAGAGTGGTTGGGCTCATTTTAAATTTGGCTATCATAATTATTGCATCCCACGTTCCTGGTCTGAAAAATAACTATAGGGGCTATAAGAGTTTAGGAAGGCATGAGGGAAGAGAAAAAATGGGAGTGATTGGTAATACCTAGTTCAGTTTAGCACCAAACATTACTGTTTGTGAGGTTTAGCAAAGGAGTTGGTTCGTGAGAGAGAGCACAAGTGTTCCAGCCTTTTCAGAAACAGCCACGGAAAAGGCAACAGTCCCGCAATCTTCTATTCTAGCTCTTTTTTTCTTAACCAGAGAAATTTACATTCCATTGCCCTCTAGTGACCCCCCCCACCAGGCCTGTCAGTGGCTATTTCTTGACTAGATGAATAATCAAACATAGACCAGAATACAAAATGTAATGAAATTTGGAAGAGGAAAAGAGCGCTTCTTTTCTCTCTCTCTCTCTCTCTCTCTCTCTCTCTCTCTCTCTCTCTCTCTTCCCAGTGTTGAGGATCAAATCTAAGGTCAAATGCTAGGCAAGCATCCCTCTGAGCTATACCCCCAACTGTACCATTCTTTTAACAAACTTTTCTCATTCTAATAAAATGAGCTTATCAGTTATTGGACCAATTTATCATGAAGCTTTTTTGAATGCTTAAACATAAAAAAAAATTGCAGATAATGCTGATGCTTAGAATAGCAGTTTGATCATCTACAGGAAATATCACAGCCAAGAGTCAACATCTTTTGTTAAAAAATGATACTTGTAACCAGTAGTTTCTACATGAATAGTGCAGTATCTCTGAAATGTTTAAGAATACCTGGGTATTTTTCACATTTCCTTGGGAATATTTTGTGCAGTATTTTGTGTATGTCACTGTCTTTAGATAAAGTCGGTGTATAAATAATACTTTTAAATACTAATTTGTAGGGCTAAATGTGTAGCTTAGCGTTAGAACACTTGCTAGCATGAGTAAGGCCCTGGGTTCAAATCCCACAGGGTAAAACAGAAGTAATGGAATATCTAGATTGAAGTAAACTGTAGCTTAAGCAGACAAATGAATATATATTTCAGGCCTATCAGTTTGAAAATCTAGGAGGCAGTTTACTTGAGCATCTGCCAGAATTTGCCATATGCATGTGATATGTGGCAGATACCCCAAAGTACTCCAGGGACTTACCTTTTTTGACAAACTAGTAGCAGTGCTGGAATGGAAGAGTTTTGAATAGTAGCAGTAAGAGCTAGTACTTCATGAATGCTTGTTCTCTGTCAGGTAAGCAAAATGTATCTGGCTAGTCCTTGCAACAGTTGAGTTTACCCCGTATTACAGGAAGAATAGTTAAATATTCTGCCAGTTGTCCCACCACTCACCATGGGAAACATTACTAAATCTAAAATGTTACATGAAGCAGCTTTCCTGTTGTTAGACCCATAACTTAAAGAAGGAGAGGTTTGTTTTGGCCCATGTTTTAAGGAGATTCAGTCTGTGATCAGCTGGCTCCCGGGAACAAACATCATGGGAAGGGCTGCAGTGGAGCAGAGATGCTTAGTTGATGTCAGAGTGGAGTCAGGGCTGGAGAGGAAGGAGACTCGAAGGCTGTGCGTCCATGACTCACCCAGACATGCCCAGGAGTGTGCTCCCCCAATCCCCAGGTGAGTCCCAAAGCTGGTTAAATTGGTGCTCTGCCCCATGGATATTTTCCTCAAAACAGCCTATTTATATGTAAAGTGAATACAACTGAAATTTGGCCCAATTTTGAGCAATTGATACAGTACAAGAAAAAAAAAGCAATGGGAATTTAACACTAGAAATGATTTCAAGGCAAATGGATCAAAGTAATGAAAAGAAAATATAACTCTGGGATATTACTATCTCTGCCTCGAATGATATTTATAGAATTATAATTATATAAATGCAGTTTATTAGTTTCAAATTTTAGAAAAACTAAAGGAATAAGCAAAGCACAAAGAACTTCATTATGATGGCAGAACATGTAAGATCTACTTGACCTTGTTAAACTGCAAGGTTTGTCTGCCAGAGTTGGAAAATTGAGAGAGAGGGGGAAAGATAAGGGTGTTTTGCTTTGATGTAAGGTCTTACTGTGTTACACAGGCTGGTCCAAACCCCCTGAGCTCCAGTGATCCTCCTACCTTAGCCTCCCAAATAGCTGGGACGACAGCACGTGTGAGCACTCTGGCTTACCAGGGCCTAACATTGAGGAGTCAAAAAAATGTAACTATGACCAGGCACAGTGATGCATGCCTATCATCCCAGGCTGAGGCAGAAGGATTGCCACAAGTTCGAGACTAGCCCGGGCTGGCTGTGCAGTGAGTTCAAGGCCAGCCTGAAATACATGTATGGTTGTCAAGAAATTAAAGTTTAGAAACATTCCTTAAAGAATTTTTGGCAGTTATCATAACAAAAGGAAGATTACTAGACTAGACTTACTAGTGATAAAGTATAAAACTGAACAAAATATGAGGGGGTTGTTTTCAGGCATTGAAAAACAGGACAGGGACTGTAATACATGAGAGAAGAGAAGCTAAACTCCATGTGCACCTTGGCTTTCCCTCTGAGAGCACCTTCCAGCCACTACCTGTAGGACCCAGAACGCAGCAGTGTCACTGGTGAGAGTACAGAGATTGTAATTCAGGGCTACTAAAGTGGCTGGAATTTATAGAGCAGGTTACAAGAAAGGAACTATGTAGTGAAAGAGATCCAGAATCTGCATGGGTTCCGTTGATTCTTGGATGGCTATAAAGCTGCGGATGTACAGGACAAAACTCTGGCGACCTTAGTAATGACAGCTTTGAGCTAAGTGCAAAGTATAGAGCTAGGGATGGTTAGAGATCTGCCCATCCGCCGAGACTTCACTGATCATCCCAAGTATTCTCCAGAGAAGCCACAAAAGCTACACTGTCCTTTGGGAATAGGGCTGCTAAAGTAAAACCAGCTGTTCCTGGAATTTCTTGGCTGTGCCAAAATGTTATCTGGTAGCTCCTTTAAAAGTGGCTCGATGGTTAAAAGTTACCGGGTTCTGGGTTGCTGCTCCCTCTGAAATTAGATTCTAGATTCTTGTCTCAAAGAATTGAAAGAAGTGAGCAAAAGTCAGAGGCAAAGTTAATTTGAAAAAGTAAACGTGAAGAGTGAAAGAGAAACTGGCTCTGCAGAGCAGACTGGGGCTGAGTAAAAAAGAAAAATGCAAGATAAAAGAACACGCTGGGGAAAGCATTAGGAAAGCCTAGTGAGGACAGCCATGTAGCAGGTCCTTAGCATCGGTGGCCTTTATACTGTCCACAACTTGAGGAAACCTGCAAGGACTTCTGCCATGGACCCTGAGAGGTGATGCTGGGATCCCACATCTTGTTCTTTGTCATGGAAGTGTCTTATTCTCCATCAGTTTTCAAAGATAGTTTTGCAAGATACATCCATCAGGGTTGAAGGTTGTTTTCTTTCAGGACCTGAAACACTTCACTCCAAGCTCTTCTTGACTTGATGGTTTGTGTTGGGAAATCTGCCGTGATTCTGATAGGTTTTCCTTCATAGGTGATCTGTTTCTTTTCTCGGACAGCTTTTAGTATTCGGTTCTTGTGCTGATTTCTGATTATTATATGTCTGGGTGAAGATTTATTTTGGTTATGGTTAATTGGGGTCCTGTATCCCTCACTTAATCAGATTCTCTTCCCTTGTTTGGAAAACTTCCTGCCATTATTTCTGTAGATAGTCTCAGCAGGGCATTCCTGTTGAGCCCTGCCTTTTCTTTGATACCTCTCACTTCATATGTTTCTCCTTGTATCATCTTACAGCTGCTGAATTGTTTCCTGGTTCTTTGTTATTTTTAAGAAATCCTTTCTTTTGTGGTCATAGTCTTCCATCCTGTCTTCAAGGACTGAGAGTCTGTCTTCAGCTTCATTCAACTAATTTTGCCAGTTTTCAATGGAATTTTTAATTTCTTGAATATCCTTTTGAATCTGTTTCAGGCATTCTAATTCTTATATTGTTCACTCAAAGTTTCCATCATTTTCTTACGTTCCTCTAGTTTTTTTTTTTAAATCTATATCTTTTTTACATATACACAGCATTTCTTTCATAATGTTTGTCATTTCATTTTTACCTGGGAGATTATTTCTGATTTCCTCTATAGCTTCATGGAGTTGTTTCTTTACTTCATTTGCTATCATTTCAGAAAGTTCAGTTGTACAATTTCCAGTGTCTTCTATTTCAGTGTCTGGGGTTTGATCTCAGTGGGCTGGAGGACTGAGGCTGCCTCTTGCTTTCTCATTTTTGTCATTTTTCTCTGAGATCCGTGTGGTGGTCAGGCACCCTCCTGATAGATTGCACTGGAACACTGCACTGAGCAGTTTCAATCCTCTGATTTCCCTGTGGCTGGCCGGGGCGTACTCCTGACCCATGGTGCCGGATCCTTGTGCCCTGTGGCCTGTGAGGCTGGCCAGGTGTTTCCCTGATGTACCGTGCTGGGTTGCTCTGGGATGCTGGGCTGAGCAGAGATTGGATTTTCTTGCTGCTAGCAGGGACACACTCCAGGAGTGTGCTGTTGGGACCTAGAACCTGCTTGAGGGGAGCTGAGAATCACTGGCACCCAGGTGGCTAGTAGGGATGCACCTCCAGTGTGTCACCAGGGCCTAGCACCTGGCTGTGTGAACCTCTGGGACCCAGGAGGAGCACAACCCCGAGTGTGGTACTACCTGGACCTTGTGTTTGGCTGGGGGGAGTCCAGAACCCCTGGAGCACTTAGCAGCAGCTAAGCAGAGTACCTCCCAGCATGTGGTGCTGGGGCCTTGCTCCTGGCTGGGTGGAGTCGGAACCTCCAGGACCTCCCATGTGCCTAGCTGGGCCACACCGCAGAACTTTGGAGCTGGGACAAGCAGGTATTTTTGCCGCATACATGAATCATGCATTTTAAAGATAGGTTTTTTTTAATGGTAGTACTGTGATTGAACTTTGAGGACCAGCTGAAGCAGTGGTTATGCCACTCTTGGTCTTCAGCCCATGCATTTCCAACTTATTTTTCCTTTCTCAGGGAGTTTGAACATCCCTGAAATTACGACATTGTTTGTTAAATGTGCTGTTATAGGGGCTCATGTTTTCCAGACTTTATACTTCTGAGGGATATTAAACATTCTCGCCAGTGACTGTCTTTCTGTTAATACCTAACTGAGATGAGGATATGATACTTTGTTTTCAAAAATGATTTTCAGAGGAAGGGGATTGCTGAGGGTTGAACCCAGAGCCTGCGCTGTAGCCACAGAAGAAGTTAATTCTGATATAAACCTAGAAGAGTTCTTGTTTGGTTTTGTGCTGCACTACCATGTTTTTGGGCTGGTTTTTCATTTTCATCGGATACTTATAGTTCTTGTGTATTATAACAGATGTTCATAAATACTTGCTAAATTTGAAAATAAACTTTAAAATATAATTATAACAGTACAAAGATATAAAAAATTCACTATCTGTGTCGCCAGAACAGCAGATATCAGTGTTGCTTGGAAGTGTTAGGAATTGTGCTTGCCTTTGAAGAAGTATGTTTGGTTTCCTGAGTGCTAAACTGTTTCTGTGCTGCGAATTAGTTCTCTAGAAGACACATGCTTTTCTCAGTTCAACAAATGTGGTTCACTACATTGTATCTTCTCCATCAGTAAAAAAGTAACAGTGTTTTGTGGATATAGAGAATTAGCTGTGTGGTATCTTACTTGTACCTTTTTCCAATCTGGTTTGAAAGGACAGAGGACTGATTGCATGGACTGGAAATTGAAAGGGAGCACACAGAGAACAGAGTCACCAATGCTGCAGGGACAGGAAGGTGGCGCAGAGGACACAGAAGCAGATGAACTGTCTGAAAGCTTCCAGCTTCTGCAGATCGATGTGGCGTGTGAGTGCCAGGAGAGGGAGACCCTGCCCACAGGTGGTACACCATGGAGCTCGGTAAGTGCAGTGCGCTATCTGCTGGGATGATCCAGAGCCCGCTGTTCAGGGTAGATATGAATTAGCTTTCTGCATTCTAAGTAGTGAATTTCCTGCTAGCTGGTTTAAGACTTCAGTTTTATTTGAATCATAGGAGAAGTAAAGTTCAAAGGGAATTCTCATGGACCTCAGAAGAGTCAGAAAACCTATACTTTAGAGTCTGACCCCAGTGGATTTACTGTGGTCTTGAACAGATCACCATCTTTTTCAGGGCTCTGTTTACTCTAGTCTGGGTTTGTTTTCAAGATGAAAATCTTTTTTTCTCTCCTAACTGTATGTGTAAATTTAAAAATAAGTAATTGTTTCTAACGTTCATTTTCTTTTTTAATGCTCATGAAGTTCTCAAACAATTTTGTTTTCTGGATAACATAAGAAAAATGTCCAGAGAAAACAGAGACACTGGGAGAAGATAATTGCAGCAAGGAAGAGCAAAAGAAAGCAAGAAAAAGAAAGAAAAAAAGCCAATCGTGCAGAAAATCCAGGTAACAATAAACAAGGTTGCCCAGTGTAACCTTTTCCTGCTTGTTATTTTCTTTTTCTTTTTTGGAAAATCGATGTCTTCATATTTCAGGGGGAGTAGGGACATTGTTCTAAGTAAAACACCTGGGAGATGAGACCATTTATCTCATTTGTTAGGAATCAAAGAGCAACATTTAAAGCTGTTTTTAAAAACCAGTTGTGTAGAAGACAGAAGTGTTTATGAACTCAGTGCTTTGTTACCCTTACCTTGTGGATGAGACAGAGGCATAGAGAAATTTAAGTAAGGTAATTCAGTTAACAAATGAGCATACCAAACTTGGATTTAAACTGAAGCGTAGCTGGATGGGGTGACACAGGCCTGTAAGCCAGGCATGGGAGGCTAGAGCAGGAGGATCACAAAAGAAACCTAGCAAGACGGTTTCACAAAATAAGAAAGAAAAAGGGCTAGGTAAGTGGTAGAACACTTCCTAGCACGCACAAGGCTCTGGGTTCAATCCCCAGGACCACAAAAAATAACTAGACCCAGCTTTGTGTTGTAGGATCAATACTGTTTACCATTGTGCAGTACAGAAACGTAATGAGTGAATATCCTACAGGAGTCTCAAGATCCTGTGTGTGTAAAAACAAAGGCGATCTGATTCTTACAGAATATCATTCTTCTGTTTTGCCACTCCCTTTCTGATGTTTCTCCTATAGGTGTCTGCACCCAGCATAGCAAACGTTTTCTGAAAGCCTTAACCAAAGAGAAACTTCTGGAGGCCAGACACTCAGGACCGAGGCTGTGTATCGATTTGAGTATGACCGACCACATGTCAAAGAAGGTAGAATACCCGCTAAGCCTGAACCCCTGCTTCCCTGAGGAGGGCCCAGAAGGTTGCAAGCTTCATGCAGAGTATGACTGTCACCAGCTTCCTTGGTTCCTTTTTTTTTTTTTTTTTTTTTTTGTGATGCTGCCTTTGGGACAGACTTTTTTTTCAAATCCATTTTATTTCAAAGAGAAAACAAAATTTCAGAACAACAAGGTACAACAATGATGCATACATTGCTCACTGGCATCCCCAAATCAGTCACCCAGCACACAGGACATCTGCAGTCAGTTGTCCAAACAGTACCGGCATAGGGAGATTTTAGAAACAGAAATCAACTGAGGCCCCAGAGATCACACTGTGTACAGACCCAAGTTCCTTGATGCCTCTCAGACTTCAAGCCACTTTGGTAATTACAATGGGAGACAATGGATGTCTTTTCTATTCCAAAGTTGCAGGTTTCCTAAGGACCTTGAGGATGACTTCATGGGTAAAGGATACTATTCCTTTGTCTGGATTATTCCATGACACTGCTGTCTCATTTGTGTCACTATATTCACAATGTCAAATAAATAGTTCTTCTTGATGGCACGGAACATGACATCCACACACATGAACACTGCAGCCCAGCCCACACCAGCGCTGCAGTGCCCAACCATGGGCTCTGAGGTGGCTCTTCCGTGCATACCAGGCACACTGAAGTCGTCAAAGTAGGCATGGCACGGTCTCACCAGTCAACAAACTGCAAGTGTTTCACAGTGTGACTAGTTCCTGTACATTTCTCCGCAACTTGAAGTGTTTGGATTTTGAAAGATGGAAGATCCTGCTCTTCTCAGACAGATGTGGCACTATCTCAATTCCAAAGGCTGCTCCAGAGAATTGGACCAGTATACACAGCTATTGATTCTTCTATCTTCTAGCTCTTTGGTTAGCATGGTGACAACATTAGAATTATTTTCAAAGACCATTTGCTAGGCATCATCTGCGGTGTCGGGCAGTGGTCCTTGGAGAGCGATATAAAAGTATTCTCCATGACTGACTGTTCTACTATAACAGGCACTAATATAGTCCCAGTTTTTTCCAAGGGAACACATGTAGAATCCTATAAAGTGATATCTTGGTATCTGTTTTTTGGTTTGTTCCGTGGTTCATTTGCAGGCTTCACTCATCAAACCGAATCTTCCCCTGTTGTAAATTCAAAATTCCTGGTTAATTACAGGAATGCTGCTGTTTTTTCAAGTATTTCTTCAAGGCTGCCAACTTAACAGCATTGAGTGTTCATGGTTGAATCTGAGTCAGCTGAGTGCCTCTTCAGAAGGAATTTTTTGTGTACCGTTTGAGAGCATTTGTGAGACAGTGCCCCTCGGGAGCTCCCTGCAGAGTGAGCCCTCATGACAGGAGGCCCGGGTGGATGACGTGTGATGGCCCTGCACGCTCTCACCCTTGCGACTCAAGTGTCAGTTTTGTAGGGGCTCCCAGAAGTCTCACTTTGAGGAAAATGTGTTTTGCTTAATGAAGGCAAATTCTTCTGGGCCTCCAGCTCTTCCGTGCAGCTCCATGGCCTTTTTAACCCTTTTCACAGTCTCTTTTAACTTCCTGGGTGATGATAGTATCCTGAAGGAGATGAGTGGAAAGGCTCCTGCAGACTGAGCCTAGGTCTGGGAGTCAGGCAGGAGGTAGTCGTCACTGTCCAGGGGCCAGCACACAGTTGGTGTCCACCCGGCCATGCAAGGAGCAAGGACGACCAGAAGCCTGCCCAGGGCATGGGTGCTGTCAGGACACTAGTCTGGTGGTCCTTACACAGCACTGCTGGGTGCTTGCAGGTCCCACCAGGGCTGTGTCTTCTGTCCTCGCCGCTGACTAGAAAAACATGGACTCTTGCGTGGTTCTTTTGTCATCTAGCAGATGCATTTGATTTTCTGCATGGGACTACTATGTTCTAAAATGGCCGTTGAGGAGAATCTAAAAAATTTATTTGTACATCTTTTGGCTTAGTTTTTCTTTTCCTTTAAACCTGCCATCTTTGTTTCTCTGTCCATGGTTTCCCCAGTCTGGAAGGAATGTTTCAAATTCAATTCTTCAAACCCCAAATCATTGGTCTTCTGCTGGGAAGAGAACATTTGCCTGGTCATATGTTGTGGGAGGTTACCTGGTGAAAGAGCTTGTCATGTTTTAATTATTTTTCATCCATCCCATTGGTGAAGAAGGAATTTCACCATGGCAGTAGTAACTAGTCAGATGAAATTGGCAGTAGTTTATTAGCCTCATAGATGTGACATCCCAGAAGAGGTGGTACAAAGCTATATAGAGTTTGCACCTGAGAACAGAATGGACATCCAGGGACAAGTCAAAGCAGCACATAATGTTTTTACTGAGTTTTAGGCCTTACACCTCGATGCATGCAATTGTAAACACATCTCATTTTCAGACTTCCTTGTTTTACATGCTGATATTTGTATTTTTCAGAGAAACTAGGAAAACTGTTTCTACTTCTTACATGGATTCTTATGTGGAGGTTTTTACTTGGATCCTCCAACTATGGCTCTCTGAAAAGATGAAATGAGAATTCTCTACTCTTTACGTTGAGAAATCTGATTAAAGCAAACCCCTTTTTTTTTCTCTGTCTATTGAACACATCATGCTGAATTGTGAAATAGCCTTCCAAGTCCTACAGCCTGTCTTGAGGTTAGGGTGAGGTGACAGACATTTGATGGAGTATGCAATTTTGACATAGTAGTCAGCCCCTGGCATGTGCCCGTTGTCACAGCTACTCAAGAGGCTGAACTCGGAGGACCACTGTTTGGCCTGAGAGTTCTGGGCTGCAGTGCATTAGGCCACTTCGGTGTCCCCACCAAGTTTGGTGGCAAAGTGGGGGTCTCCTGGTTGCCCAAGGAAGGATGAGCCAGCCTAGGTTGGAAACAGTAGATCTAACCTCTTTAATAGTAAGCAGTAGGTATTTCATGGAAAGATTTAGATAAAATCTAAAGTAAACATTTTGTATGTCATATTAAATATATAACAGCAGAGTCCACAAAAGCAAAATTCTCGGTGTTTCCACTGACTCACTATTTCGGAGCTGGCATCACTGTCAGTATAACGTCGTGGGGCGTAACACGTGCATTTGCTCACTCCTGGTTCATAAGCTTTTCTAGAACAGCGTTGGGTAAATTACTGTGTAACTGTAGATAGTGAATTTACAGTGAGTTGCTGTGTTTCAGGCCTGAGTTGTCCTTGTTTCTTTGAAGGAAATGAGCAGGCTGGCTGGGCAGATCCGGAGGTTGTATGGCTCAAACAAAAGGGCTGACAGACCCTTTTGGATCTGCCTCACTGGATTCACAGCTGCCAGTCCCCTCTATGAAGAGTGTTTGAGGATGAACGATGGGTTTTCTAGTTACCAGGTAAGAATCCTTTTGCATACTATTTGAATTATCTAAAAGGAAGTTGTGGGTAATGGTAATTTTAAAAATAATAAATATTTTCACACATAACTTGCCCTGTCAGTCTGTGGGTTCCATATCCACAGGTACAGCCATATTTTAAAACATTTGGGGGAAAAATTGCATCTGTACTGAACATGTACAGACTTTTCTTCTCATTCATTATTCCTTAAACACAGCACTTACATTGTGTATAGTTAGCCATGGTGGTGACCACTTAAAATGCATGGGAGAAGGTGAATCCACCAGCACTTTCAGAGGTGGACCAGATGCCCATGATAAAAATAAAAACGTACAGGAGAGTATGCATAGCTTAAATGCAAAATCTGTGCCATTTTATATAACAGACTTGAGCATACATGGGTTTTGGTATCACAAGAGGTCCTGGGATGAATGTCCAATGTATTCTGCAGGATGACTATAATCTGTATATATCTGTATTGTATCTTCTCATTGTTGCAATCTAAAAACTCAGAACTCATTAGTTGTTTTTTTTCTCATTAGTTCTTACATTAAATTTTTTGTGATTCTTCCACAGCATTGTCAAATTAATATTACAATAATTACATTATCAAATTAATATACTACTTCTCTTAGGCAGTATCTAGAACTGTATTTTGTAACCTGTATAGTTTATGCTATACTATGCACTGCAGTAATACTTTTGGAAAATGCCATGACTCCTTTCTTCTTCTCAATAATGCAGAATTGAGAAACATAATTTTGGAAGGAACAGAATGAGTGCTTTTAGAAGTGGGAGTTGTAGCAGGTATAGTCTGAAGGTATTTTCCAGCTGTTGCCTAGGATTCATAAATGTAGTGATAGGAGCACAAGAGTGAATTCAGTTTCTGAGAAATGTCACTGACAAAGCCTTGTGTGTGAAGCTGGGACTGAGCGATTGGGATGCTCCCTGGGAGCTCCATTGAGCCCAAGGCTGCACGGTACTGTGTGCAGCCACCTGAGTTGTAGCTACTGCCTTAATAGGCTCCTGTAACGCAGCCAGAAGCCAAACAGACCTGCTTTCAGTACCATGTGCTTTCCTGTCTGGCTGCTTCTCTCAGGCAGTTCCCTCCATTTTGAATTTTCCTTTTGTGTGTGTGTCGGTCTCAGCGCTTTCAGGGAACCCAGCTCTAACATTTGCTTCACCAGTTACCTTGGTGTGGTTCTTGTCTCACCTGTGGTCCTGGTCCACCCTTCCTGTACCTCATTCCCTGCCTGTCTCGTTTTATAGGTTCAAAATCTGTAGCTTTGAATTTCTCCTTTCCTGACCAAGCACCTTTTGAGAAGAAACCATCAGACAGGCAACCGTTAGACACTGGAGCCAGGCCTGACAGCAGCCAGGTGCACAGTAACTGCTGGTTAGATTGTGGGCCGTGTTTTAACCTCATTCTTATTACACTGGCTTCTCTGCATCTTCCAGCTGGACATAACAGAAGAAGACTGCTTTAGCTTATTTCCTCTGGAAAGCCTCGTGTATCTCACTCCTGACTCAGAACACGGTAGGTATGTTGCTTTGTGGTCTGTGTGGCACTTTGTTCCAGGCCTTTGTTTCATTATTCCTGGTGGCGCAGTTTGTCAAGCCGCTCAGGGAGTGTCATAGAAGGCAAGGACACACCTTCCTCAGGCAGGCTTTCCCCAGGTGCCTGCCTGTGCCGTGCACATGCACACCGCCGCAGACTGCAGGTTTGCCTGCTCCGCTGGCCTGGATGCTGCTTTGCAATGCAGGTGCCCTGGTCTGCTTCCCCTGTGGATCCTGTTGAAATCAGTGTTAAATACCTAACTGTGTTTTCCAACAAAATCATCTGTTTCACGTCATTTTCAAAATTATTAGTATTGAGTTGATTATAGTATTCTTTTCTAATTATTTTAGATTTGGGGCTGGGGATTTAGCTCAGCAGCATAAGCACCTGCCTTGCAAGCAGGCGGTCGTGAGTTTGATCCCCAGTAACGAAGAAAAGAAAAGAAGAAAAAAAAAGTGTAATTATTTTAGATTTTTCTGTAGTTTTAGTTTTGTTTCCTTTCTGAGTTTAATGGTAGCTTGGGCCCACTATTTTGTATTCTTCATTAGATATGCCTAAAGTTTGTCTATGTTTTCAATCTTTTCAGAGAATAAACTTTGGGTTCATTGAGAAAGTCTGTTATGTCTTGTTTTCTATTCATTAAATTTTAAATTTTATTAATATTTCCTTTTGCTTTCTTTGGACTTAAATTATAAAACTGATTCGCTCTCAATGGCTTTCATTTTCTCATTAGCCCTTGAAGATGTTGATCTAAATAAAGTGTATGTCCTCGGTGGACTCGTGGATGAAAGCATTCAGAAGGTAAGAATATCTTTCAGACCCGACTCTCTAGGCCAAGGACCCTGGTGGTCTAGTGGTTAGAATCTGGCACCCTCACTGCTGTAGCCCAGGTTCAGTTCCTGGTCAGGGAAGCCTGCCGGACGTAGTGGCACACGGCTGTAATCCCAGCACTCAGGAGACTGAGACAGGAGGATTTCCTCAAGCTTGAGGCAAGTCTGAATGACATGGCAAGACTGTGTCTCAGAAAGCCAGGAGAAGAAGAAGAGTGGGAGGAAGGGAAGGGGAAAAAAGAAAAGAGTGTTCATTGTGAGAGGCTGCTGCCCTGTCAGAGTCTAACCCAAAGGGCCTCGCAGCTCAGTGGGAAGAGAAGGAGGCGGACGCCCTCAGCGGGTGCTGGCTCCCTCTGCAGGTACATCCGGAGGTACAGTTGCTCCCCACATCAGCACTGTCAGCAGAACTGTGCCTGACAGGAGTTGAGGTTACAGTAGCAGCCATGCTTGACTTCTTTCTTCAGTTCCACAGGAAGAACTCTGTTCCTGACCAAGTAAGCACTGGTTCAACATTTTTATCAGACTTTGTTCTCCGTGAGAGAGTAGTTTAGTCCTTCAGAGGTTGACTTCTCTCCTGATAAGTCTTACTCCAAAGTTTGAAACCCAGCTGGGCATTGTAGTGCACATCTGTTATCCTAGCACTCAGGAGACCGAGGCAGGAGGATTGCACTGAGTTTAAGGCCAGCCTAAACTACAGAGAAAGCCCCTGTCTCAAACAAAACAAAACAAACAAAACCGTTCAAGCTCAATATGACTATTCAGATTTCTTTGATTAAGAGTTTTAGTGGTATAATTGGAGTTTCACCGAACTTTTTTTTTTTTTTTTTAATCGGTACCGGGGATCGAACTCACAACCATGTGCTTGCAAGGCGGGCACTTATGCCACTGATCTAAATCCCCAGTCCCTCACTGAACTTTTAAAATTTATTTCTACTACACAAATATTTGCAAAGATAATTTTCTTTATTTATATTTACTAATTTACATAAATTGCATAGGTGTTAAGTGTAATAATGATATAATAGTTAATGTGTACAGAAAGGTACATAGTAAAAAGTAAGTCTCTCTCTCACCCTTGCCCTGCTCCCATTCCCCCAGGGCACCACTGTCCTTTGCTTGATGATTCGTAGGATCATATACGTAATATGTCTGTTGGTCTGTTTTAAGTAAAGGTTTTTCATATGTGTGAGTATATTCTATATACTTCCTTATATACAGGAAACACGTTTATCACAGACACTAGCTTCATAGTAATAATGTAAAAAATGGACAAGGGAGTTTCTTACAGCAGAATGCCAGCTAATAAATGAAGAATTAGAATTATAAAATCATCATATTTGCCATTCCTGGTACAATCATTGATTCAGGCAATTGATTAAATAAAAAGTTATGGAGGAACCAGGCATTTCCATGACATTACCTCACAGATTATAAAGATAGAAATGTACCATTACAGTGAAGCAATCTAGTGGACACCATCTCATCCAGACGTGATCAAACATCACTAATAGTGACACAGAGTGCCTCCCCTTGCCTGGAAATGTTTAAGCCAAATATAACTGTGAGGAAATGTCCAGAACAGGAAACACTCTGCAAGACAACTGGACTGCTCTTTTAAAAGTTAATGGAATAAGAACTAAAACCAATAGGAAGCTGTTTTAGATTATAGGAAATTTAACAAAAAAAAAAGTACTGCCCGGCACAGGGGTACCCACCTGCAATTACAGCTATTAGGGAGGCTGAGGCAGGAAGATTGCTTGAGCCCAGATGCTTAAAGCCAACCTGGCCAATATAATGCGATCCCATCTCAAATTAATCTATAACTAACTACTCATGTGCAGCATGTGAGCCATTCTGGATTAGAAAGCTTCATAGAAGATATTTGGGGGACTGTGGGGAGAGTTTAATGCAGATTCTGTATTGGTCTGGTAGAACTGTTGCTGAGTTTCTTAGTGAAAAGGGTATTGTGGTAAAATTGAAGAACGTCACTTCTCACACGCATGCATAAACATTGTGATGTCTGTAGCTTACTTGCAAATAGTTTGGAAAATACGCCTTTATGTACCTGGAGGAAAGCAAATCTGAAAAAATGTTAACAGGTTAATGTAGATGGCAGGAGTGTTGGTTGTATTGTTCTTTGAGCTTTTCTTAGGTTTGAAGTATTTCAGAATAAAAAGTCGGGGGCTCAAGATACAGCTCAGCGGCATAGCGCCTGCCTGGCAAATGTGAGATCATGAGTAAGCTGGGAAAAAAGGACAGCTTTAGTGCAGAGTCAGCCTGTGAACTGTCACCATTTTCCTACAGTAGAAGTCAGCCCCCTGTCTTGAGACAGTAAAGTTCAGACGGTCAGTGAGCAACATACTGGTATTTGTGGAGTTTTAACACCTGGTCCTCTTTTATCTCTGGGTCAATATTTAAACCAAAAAAAGGAGGGATGGGGAAGGGATAAAGGGAGCTGGGTGTGGCGGCGGATGTAATCCCAGCACTTGGGAAGGCTGAGGCAGGAGGATTGCTATGAGTTCAAGGCCAGCCTGCACTACATAGCAAGACCCTATCTCAAAAAAAGCAAATAAACAAACAAAAAAATATGAATGAGGAGAAGGCAAGCAATCAGATGTTTAGAGCTTTTAGCAAATATCAAAGGTAGTCTGTGCAAAGGAGTACTACCCTTCAGTGTGATCCTTTTTAGTAGCTGTGCCCTTATGCCATTAGAATTGCATCTTCTTAACATATTTCTGGAAGTTCTTGGAATTCTGGGTTAGATTCATGGGGTCTGAAAGGCAGACCATCCGTGTCAGAACAGTGAAGGTGCGTGGCCTCCTTCACAATGTTGTTTTCCATTAGACCATGCTCATGGTGGCCAGACGGTAACAGGCCCATAAATGAAAGGACTTGACAAGCTAGAACAAGCTTGCTGAAGTGACCCAACATGAAGTCATACAGAAGAGCTGACCAAACTATGGTGTCAGCGTGGAGACAGCACTCCCGGCCGTGCTCACTGCCATGTATTTGCCTGGCGTCTTATGTATGGGAGGGGCATTTTAATTTTGCTTTGCCCCAGGGGTTATAAACTAGATGACCTCAAGACAGTCTCAGAGAAAAGAGCTTGGCTCAATATTAAAAAGAGTTTCCTGCTGCTTGGTACTGTCAGTTTAAATGGATCGTCACAGTATCATGAACTCTGTCACCATGGCTGTCCATTTAAAAGATCAGATGACCACGTACATAGAAAGACACTGGATGGGGTTTGAAGTGAAGCAGCTAACAGTATTGAGGCTTCTCTAAACATAAGTTCTAATGATCCCAGTGACCTAACCCTTCCTCTTTGATCCCCAATCCTGAAAGGCAGACCATCTTTCCTACACATCTTACGCGGTAATAAATAGGATTTTAATGTCAGTTCATGACTCAGGGACCTCTTACGCGGTCATGTTTCTGTACATTAGCCCTCAGTGGCTGAAATCATTGCACTTTGAGGTTTTCTGACTGCTTTGTGCAGTTTTCTTCCTTTCGGTTGGGCTGTCAGTTTTCATAACTGGTTTAGTTACTTGTCTCTTGCTGAGACACAGTACCTGACGCATACATGTTAGAGGGGGAAAGGTTTATATCAGCTCGCAGTTTGTAGAGGTTTCAGTCTGTATTCATCTAGCTCCAGGAGCCTGGCAGAGGGACATCACAGAGGAGAAACAGCTCATGGCAAGGAGAAGGCAGCAAAGGAGCAGCAGTACCTGCCTTTTGTTTTTTTTTTTTTTCCCCTGCTACTGGGAATCAAACTCACAACCTTGTGCTTGCCAGGCAGGTACTGTACCACTGAGCTACACCCCGGCCTTGCCTTTCCCTTCTACAGACCTTTTGGGTCATGCCGACCACACCTAGGTGAAGCTTCTATTTTCAGTAAATCCACTGAGCCACACCCAGGACTGCACTGATTCCAGTCAGTGGACTAATTTAATATCACAAACCCTTATCCCAGGGTCACTCACCCTAGATCAAGCCAGCCCCTAAAAGCTCAACCTATGAGTGCATGAGGCTTTGAGGGGACACCTAGAAGCAAGGCGTAACAACACCTTAGTGTTACTTTGTTGGCTCCTTATGCCATTGCACCATTCTTTTTTTTAATTTTTTTTTTTTTGTCTTTTTTCTTTTTATCGGTACCAGGGATCGAACTCATGACCGCACACTTGGGAGAGTGTGCTTATGCTGCTGAGCTAAACCCCCAGCCCCCATTGTACCATTCTTAATACCTTTTCCTTTCTTCTACCAGAGTTTAAAATATCAGGTAGAGCTGGGCGTGGTGTAATGCCTGTAATCCCAGCACTTGGGAGGCCGAGGCAGGAGGATCCATGCGTGTTTGAAACCAGCCTGGGCTACAAAGTGAGCTCGCCAGTCTGAATTGCATAGCGAGACCCTGTCTCAAAAAGACTTAAAAAAAAAAATCAGATATTCAGAATTGGTTTTCCTGCTTTAGAGCCAGGCGTGTTCACGGATTAGCTGGCCTGCTTTGACTTCTCAATGCCAGTTTGAGCAGTGGCTGTGCCTCTTTTGCTTGTTTCCTTATTTTTGTAAATGTTAGCGTGTGGAAAGCTTGTGGGTAAACAGTGCCGGACAGTAAAGTATTGCCACCCACCACTTCTTACCGAGGATAACGACGTCTCCCACAAGCCACTCACTCTTAATGTTTGCTTTTTGTGATTACATAGGAAAATTGGCAGAGAAAAATGGGGATTCTCACAATTTACTTATTACCCTGAGAATATATATCCATATACAATTTTTATAATAAATGTATTTGTGATTTACAGAAAGTGACATTTCAAAAGGCCCAGGAACACTCTGTCAAGACAGCCCGTTTGCCAATCCAGGAGTACATGGTCAGGCGCCCAAATGGGAAAAACTATCATTCAGAGATACTGGCCATCAATCAAGGTACTGCTCACGTTGCCCATGCCAGCTTGCATTAATTGTGTGTAGCTGTAAGTGCCCATTAGTGTCTGTGAGTAATATGCCTGGATTTTATTGCATGTACTTTGTGACATTTATTCTGGCCACCAAGAGGCAGTCTTCATTTTCTTCCTGGCCTTCATCTGTGTTAAGATAGCTGCAATTGTCCCTTTGGCCTAGAATCCCTCTTCAGCTCCTGACTGACCTGTGCATGTTTGTTGTTTAGATTCAGTTCATCCTAGCTGGCTTCCCTCTCCTGCCAGGCCACCCAGGCCCCTTCCTGTGTTCTCATGATTCTCGTCCTTAGATTGCAGAGTTTTCATTCACAAGTCTGTGTCTTTTTGTAAGTGGAGGTCCTTATGAGCGGGCCCCTGGGTCACTGCTTCTGTCCTAAAACCTAGCACCATATGTGATGCAGTGGAATATTTTACATCTTTTTCTCACTGAGATTTACTTGCCTTTTTCCTAATGATCATTTTGTTTGCCTTCTAATAGTGTTTGATATCCTGTCAACTTACTTTGATACTCACAACTGGCCCAAAGCATTGAAGAAAGGAGTTTCTCCAGGAAAAGGCTATGTTCTCCAGAGTCCAGATGAATGACAACAGCCTGAGATGTCACCAAAGAACAGGGGAAAACGTGGCAGTGGCATATAACTTGCCTCTACTTGACCTCTTTGGCCCTTTATAGTATAAGCCACCAGTGGGAAGGACATTTATGCTTTTGTATTGTCTGGTCACACAGGTGCCCTGACTAAAGTTTACCTAACAAGGAATTAGCCCTAAAACTACATGGCTTTGGATATGCTAATTCATCTTTTGTTAAGTACTTGTATTTAATTAAATATTATGCTAAGAGCTTGATTTTCACTAAAGTGGCATGGAATCGTATGACTTGTCTCCTCCACCTCTGAGTGTGCAGATTTTTCCCCTAACCCACTAACATGCTGCACATCAGTTTTGGAGGATCAGCCCCCAGCCTGTCCCCATTTTGAGCCCTTAGAGCTCTTTGGTCCCTCTTACGGTTTTTACCCTCTTCTCTTGTCATGGATATGCACATGCAAGGCTTCTCCCCAGTGTGTATGAACTTGTACACATGAGAGTATTTGTATGTATTTGTAATTAGCAGGCAAGCTGAAAAGCAAAAAGTTGTATTCTGACATGTAAGCTGACAATCTCTCACTATACAAACATTAGCATTAGACTTTTTTATATCTTAGGTATAATTGCTTCAGTTACTTTTACCAGTTTGAGTCAGCTGACTTGTTAAGCTGCTAGCAAATTCAGAAAATGCATTCTATGTCTCAGGAAAACCAAAATGTTATTTCCCTGCTCACTCCACCATTATCCCTTACCATTTAATCTCTCAGGAACTATGATCATATGATAAATTATATCAGTGTATTTTCATTATATAAAAACAAACCAACCTTCAGAAAATATCTTTTTGAACTCAGTATGTTTACTGAGTTTTATAATCTCTTTCATCCCTAAAGGACTGTCAATGGGTAGGCTACAGGGGGGTCTGTAACTCATTCTGAGGTCTGTGACCCCAAAACCATGGAACTTTCCTCATCTGCCAGTCTTCATTTTCACCTATAAAGCTTTGTTAATGTACTACATAGCATGAAAGAATTTTCTTTCCAACTCTACCACACAACTTTCTCATTGGTTGATTCAAAACCCAAGGAAGTAACTTGACTTCTAGAAAATGACTTTAACAAAATAAGATTGGCCAGAATTGGATACACAGAATCCTGATCATTGTGTTAATTAGGTAACAACAAAAAAGCAATATATTCAAAATAATCCTATAACATGAAAATATAAGTATTGAGTTTTTAATAATCAGGAGAGAAATGTAGTGTTCAAAGTATATTGCAAAAGATACTCTGTAATTCCACCTTCAACACATACATGTACTGGTTAAAAATACAGGCCAGGTTAAATTTCTGTGCCTCAGTTTAATTGTGAAGAAACATGTCTTGTAGTTGATCCACATAAACACACTTAAAATTATTACATACTCTTTCTGGGACGTAAGTGATTATAGGTGACTTTTGATTGTTTCTTTGTACTTTTATGTATTCTACATTTTCTTTGGGGAACAAACACAACTATAATCAGAAAATAAATTTTAATGCTGACTTCCAAACCACAGAAGCTGCAACCTGTTATCTTCCAATAAATGAACTATAGTTTTATTATTATATAAAAATACACAAAACTCATGATTTCTTGACCACAAGAACATGGGTGAAAACCAGTAAGTTCCTTACAAAAATATTTTATTTGGTACTCTAAACACTAATTATGTACATTCACATCCTGCCTGAAGATTTAGTAGGAGAGGTTCACCAGAAAAGTTTTTGTAGGAAACCCAGTTTCTTGGTTCCATTGACCCATTAGCGAAGTCCACATTTATCAACTTTCTGCTAATCTGGCAAAGATTTGTTTCCTTTGTTCTGTTGTCATGTGTTCACAAGCTTCTAAAATGTTTGCCAAAATTAAAGTCTGCTGAATGGTTTTTGCCTTAACCCATATTCTTCCGTTCATTCCAAATACAATCTCCAGTGGATAGAGTTTTCCCACTTCCTGTATAATTTCACAATCTGGCGCCAACAGCCTGGTAAGGAAGAGAGAAAGTGAAGTGTAACACCATGTTGTGCAGAGTCCTGGCTCTCCTAAGAGAGATGCTCCTTCTCTGAGCAGTTCTCAATAGTTCAAAGCCCTATCAACATCACTAAGAATAAAATAAGATGACACTACATCCCCTTCCTCTTCCCCCATTTCCTCCACGAAGCTTTTTTTTATTACTACAGTACTAAGAAAACACTTGAAACTTACTTTCCTGACCAGGTAACTTATTCCCTAGTATTAAACTCAGTATCTGGAGAGCAGTAAGGGCTCTCTGGAACCACAAGGTGCTGCTTGGTTAATAACATGCTTTTCTAATGCCCCAAACATACCCTCCAAATCTGCAGAACTGGTAGGAAAGAAAGGCTTAGGAGCCAGCTCTCAACCTTAGTGGTTGTAGGAGTAAAGCCCTTTAGTGTGACAGAGCTTTGGGAAAGGTCTGAACACCGGACAAAGTATCTACTCAGTGGCAACTATTCACGCTGTCAAGATAGAGTGGCACAAGCCTTGTGTCAGTGTCTACATAAGCTTGAGGATTGTTCACATTGGTCCAGTTGCATTTGGCCATCATTAAAGAAATCTGGTAATTTTGCACAAATTTAGATTGCATTTGTATTCAAGTGATTTTGAGACAAGAAAGAAAGGTCATCCACTGGACTGCGTCAGTGTAAGGAAGAGTAGGTGTTCTGTTAGAGAAGAAAGGCAAGGGACAGTGTAGGAATTTAAAGATGAAGCAGCAGTCTGGACAACACCAGGAACTACACAGATCTAAGTTCCACACAGTAAGACAGGGCGGGACTATAATCTCCAGTTTACACATACACTAAAATGGGTATTTTTAACTTTGAAGAGAAATTCAGGTGCTGTTAATGGACAACGCAAATTCCAAAGTTGTCAGCTTTTCAGGCAGGTGTAATTTATAATTACTATAAGACAGCAGACAAGCAAGTAGGCATTGGGACTTACTTTCTAATCAAGCCTAAAGTCACTTTAAAGAGAAGTCCATCCTGTCCAATTACACCCATCCCATTGGCTCTTCCACAGCTGTCAATGCAGACCATCTCTGGTTCCATATCTTTATTAGCAACCACAAACTGGCCATAGATGAGATCTCCAACCTACAGTTATTTAAAAAAAAAAAAAAAAAAAAGAAAATGTTACTTTCTTTCCGCAAACCATTCTTCAGAAACTGCTACTGGCTCCTTCCATTCGACAATGTGAGTCGCCTGCAGTGCTGTGGCTGAGGGACTGACTACACTAGTGGTGGCGCACCTGTGGCAAATGTGTTACTATGGTTTTAAGAGAAAAGGAACTAACAAGAGTTTTTTCTAAACTAAAACCTCAGTACTCAGGTTTAATTGCAGTCTTGACACTGCAATAAAGTAGTGGGTTTCAGGTCGCAGTTTGGTAGTTAGTTTCTAGCAGGTCTGCCATCGCTGGACTACACTCTACACTTCTACTGTGGAGTTAAATTAATACGTGCAACTGTCCTTTCACCCACCAGAAAATCTTAGACTAGGAGCTGTCTTAAGGCCAAAGAAACAGCCTCCAAGAGTATACCTTCCCATACTCACATGTAATTAAGCTTAACATTTAAATTAATTAAAATTAATTATTTAAAATTCAGTTTTCCATTACACTGGTCACATTTCAAGTGCTCAGCAACTACATTTAACTAGTGTATAACCAGGATTTTAGAAAGTTCTATTATAGGTGGCCCTACTCTAGAGAATTAGGGATTTACAAAGAAAGGGAACTTCTGGAATGCAATTATTCAAAACCAAATGGAACAGCTGTTAGTTAACTTACTGATAAAGAGATTTACTTTGAAAATTTCAGAGTTTAACTTCAAAATAATGAAACTGAAGAAATAGAACATGAATTTATTGTTTACTTAGCAAGCAAAACAATAAGTACCTACTGTTTGTTAGCTACAGGATCTAGACAGGATGCCCTTGGAACATTTGACCTTAGACAACAGTGGGAATGTACATGTAAATTTCATTCAAGGGTACATCCAGTAAAGAGTATAAGCAAAGATACAAAAGTGACAATTAGGTGTGGCTTTACAGTGGTACTGACGTTTAACTTGGACCTCAAAAGATAAGCATATGTTCCACAGGCTGACGAGATGGCATAATGCAAGGTAGAAGAAACAGCATGAGCAAAGGCCCAAAGGCAGAAATTGAGTTTAGGGGTATTTGGTATGGTTTAAGTATAGTATATGAAGGATATAATTTTGGATAAGAGAAGACCCCTAAGTGTAATGCCAAAAAATTCTGTAGGTTTTGAAGAATTTTTTCTTTTGAGAAAGGAAATGTATGAGGATGTCAGCTCTCAAAAGTCAAGATGGATGGGTAAAAATATGGAGGCATGGGTGTTTAGAAGATGTTTGAGTCCTGTCAAAAAGGAGCTAATACCTTAATATGCTCAGCAGAGATAAAGGAATGGACATGCGAAAGATCAAAGACTCACATAGGCTAAAAGCAGGACTAAATGAAGGCCTATGAACAGAGGAAGAACAGAAGGAAAGAACAGAGGTGAGGAAGCCAGCAAAAGCTTAGGATGGCAGGAAGAATATGGCTACATTCCCTGAAAAGCCCAAATTGAAAATCTGTGGTAACATGATTACTCCTCTCTCAGTCCCAGGGACCTATAACCAAGATGACAGATGCTACTAAAGACAATGTACATTTGTCCCAGTTTCCTAAACCATGGGTAATTTACTTCTGCAGTACATAGATAAGCATATATTCAACTCAGCAGAGATAAAACATCCCAAGGATTAATGGAGCAAATGAAGTATGGTCCTGGAGCTGGAGCACCTGAGATCTTGCACAACTAGAAAAATAGCTCATATTTTGGAGACAATTGGGGGAGACTTCTGCATAACAATGTTCTGGGAAGTAGTCCTTTTGTTTCTTTTATTTTTTCATTTTTTATGTTTAAACCAAAGGGTCCTCTCATTACCTGTACATTTGGTCTGTTTCTTTTAGTTGCACCTTCAAATGCCAAGTAAGACAAAGAAGCCGGCTCACTCCCTCCAACATCAACTTTGAATATATCTCCAGATTTGGCCGTCACTATGCCAATCACATGGTCTCCTTTCACTGGCACATACTACAAAAGAAAACAATGAGAAAAGTCATTAATGACATTATCCTTCAAGTTTACGAACAAAAACGTCACTTTGATGGCCCCCTCGAATTTGCAACTGCTATTTCTTTGGGTTTGTTCTGAGGTTGGGTCTTGGATTTACTCAGGCCAGTCTCCAACTCCTCTCAAGGACCCTCCCACCTCAGCCTCCAGAGTACTGTTAACTGGGACTGGAACACAACCCTGGCCTGGCTGTTTAGCTTCTAATAGTCTATTAATCTAGCCAGGGATTTAGCTCAGCACCATAAACGCCTGCCTGGCAAGCGTAAAGTCGTGAGTTCAATCCCTGGTAACAGGAAAAAAAAAAAAAAAAGTCTATTAATCTAAACCAATTTCTCTTTAATACCCTTACCAGTAAGTCCCCACCTCTGTTGCACATAACTCCAGTACACAGGGTCCTTACAGCCACGGCAGCGCATTCCGTTTTTAGGCAGTTTTTTCCTACATGAACGTTCTTTTTTTTTTTTTTTTTTTTTTTTTTGTCTTTTCCCTTTTTATCGGTACCGGGGATCGAACTCACGACTGCCTGCTTGCATGGCAGGCGCTTATGCCGCTGAGCTAAATCTACAGCCCCCTATATGAACGTTCTTAACTAGTCAAAGAGAAATTTAACTCTTCGTGACTTCCACTCACTGCGACTGGTTTTGCTTTTTGGGATTCCAAAACATGCCTACTACTTCCTGACGTTTCGGATTCTGAAGACAACCATGACCCAAGGTCTCCCAGAACGTTTTTCACTGGTCGCTCTCCTCGGACGTTTTTATACGATGTTCATGTGGACACAACAATACGGTAGCGCTGGCTAGCTTTCACAAAGGGAGACTGTGAGGTCCCATACCTGCTTCTTTTGGGAAGTTTCGCAGAGCCCCTCCCAAGACCCGACTCACCCGCTTCTGTTGCGAATCTACCCAGTAAATGCCACCACTACTGCCAGAGCCAGACTCTTTGTGACGAAGGCGGCCACACTTAGTGACCAGCAGCCGATCTCCGCAGCGCCGCAAGCCCGGGCCGCACACTACGCGCAATCGCGAGCGCATCCCGGCATTCAAGCGCAGGGGTCGCTCCCCGGCAACGCCAACGCCGTCTGTTTCCTCCTGTTCAGGCAGCAGCAACTCCTCACCTGGGAGCACCACCTGACCTAGCACATTTCGCGCCGCCCGCGCCTTGCAACCCGCCGGAGACTCCGACGCAACAGGCAACGTTTCAGCCATCTCTGGCGCCGCCGTGCCCATTTCCGGTATCCAGTTCCGCTTCCGGTTCCGCATCCAATGGTCGGCCACCCGGCGACTTCCGTTTCCGACAGTTGTGGTTTTGGGGACTTGGATTTAAGCATGTGAAACTCATTTGCAGTTCGACCGTGGATTCCCTACCTTGTAGTTAGCAGTGAATCTGTCGTTAGACGTCCATTCATCTTAATCTAACCGCGCGGAGGATGTGAGAAATGCCTAGCTTGAGTAGGTTAAGAACCCTCCACTTCCGGTGCCTGGGGACGCGCAGCTCTTGACCAGGTGCTTCCACGAAGGCTTTATTCAGGTTACTGAGCCGAAGGGCTTCGGAAATTGGGCGTTGGCTGGGTTCAGAGCTCCGCGCCTCCGACTTACGCCTCAGAAAGGTGGTTAACTCTGTACCAGGATTTTTTTTTTCTCGTAAAAAAAACCTTTTCGGTTGCAGCTGGAAAAAGATACCTGTTTGAGTTGTAGACAACAAAAAGAACGGAGAGAAATAATGTTACTTAATTTTGCCCATTGTCCCTTGGTGTGCTGCCATGTGTAGTTGTGATTATTTGTGACAAAAATACGAAATACCTGGCAGGTATCTCCCTTTGATGTGTATTTTTCCCTGTATTTTGCCCACTGCAAACATCCATATATTATATGCGCCTTGTTACATACTTAAGTTATCTCTTCGTGGTCTGGGAAAGTCAGTAACTCGGACAAATACCTGCTGTTATTTCCCCTTTTGACTGTTCTAATTGTTCTGTACTACTAGAGTTTGATCGATCCCCCAGCAGTGGTGAAGGCTCCTAGAAACCGGGAGGGTAAGACTGAACAATTCCTTTTAGCTCCCCTCCATGTGCGCTGCCCGTCTCTTTCCATGTGAATTTTTAAAAAAATTTTTGGGTATTTAAAACCTACCTTCACTAACGTGCTTCATATTTGACAAAATGTTGGCAGAACCATTTTCCCCAACATTAAGAGGCCAACTGAGATACAGCATTTGTCTTGCAATCAGATTGCTGAAATAATTTCTTGATTAGCCTCCCTGACAGCAGTGGTGGTTCCTAGGGCAGAGATGATAATAAATTGTGCTTCTCTCTTCCCCATTCTAACCCAGCTCCAGTAAGCATAGAACAAGTAGATACCATCCGTATTCAGTGAGGAAGCCTAGCTCCTTTGAGGCTGGCTCAAGGCTATGTCTGAGAGAGTTCAAAGGACCTCAGGCCCTGACCCTGACCAGCCAAGAAAGAGTTAATGTTCCCTGACTTGTCCTTTGGGAGGACCCCCCCACCCCCAGGTCACAGTGGAGTATCCAGGAGATACTGGGCCAGATCTGAGAGCCCTGTCAAGTTTACTTTCCTTTAGGAGAGGCACATGGCAACCAGTCCAATTTGTTTCCAAGAGAATACAGACAGGAAATCAGAACAGTGCTACCCAGTGCATGCCGCCATGTCAGTGCTTCACCTCCTGGCTGGTGTCTGGCAGCTTCTAGTATGTGAGAGTGTATAGGCCAGTAGTGGGAACTCTTGGAACTCAGGATCCTGGCTCCAAGTGGCACCTTCAACTTTGGCTGCATGCAGGCTGACCCTAAGGCTCCGTGGGTTCATGGTCCCAAATCATATTTAATAACAATGCATGCTTGCTTTCCTGGTTGTAAAAGTGGTCACAGGTGATTGAAGAATAAAGAATCTGGTAACCAGTGCGTGTGTCCTGCATGCCTCGTCAGGTGCACAAGGGAGTTTCCTATGGATGGCCTAGACCAAACAGGCTCATTCTCTGCTGTGGGCTTGCGGGTTTGCAGCCAATGCAGTTGATGCTGCTCTGTGTTCCAGTGCCTCTGTCCTCATTCTCCTCATAGTGGAGAATTTCCTATAAGGAAATTTACAAAATGACTTATAGAAAGGCTGGACCTGACCAGGGCCTTCTAGATGCCCAGAAACTACACTTTAGAAATGTTTGCTAATTTAGAAGTTGAAAAGATGACATCACACATTGCTTGCCATTGTTTTCTGGTGAGATCTGGACTTTTTCCCCTTTCAGACAGCAATTCTTGAGCATTTGTTCTAAACAGGAGTTGAACTGAGAGGCAGCTGAGTGTGGGTCTCTCCACTGGGAGAATTCACTGTCACCGTAGGAAAATAATCAGTGTTAAAATGGAAAGTATGGTTGGAATATCCCTCCCACCCCAACCTCTGGTACAAAGAATGAGCTAGTTACTGCTTTGTAAGGGGAAGTTAGGGGTCAAGATAGATGCCCTAGGGCCAGCAAGATAGCTCAGGGGCCATAACCGCCTGCCTGGCAAGCATATAGTCCTGAGTCTGATTCCCAATTTAAAAAAATAGATGCCCTAAAGGAGGTGAATATCCTAAATGAACTTTTGATATTTTATAGTTTACTGGTTCCTAAAAATTACGAATGAAGTATATGCTGATTTATATACAGAAATAGTAAAAAAGCCTATGTAAGTATAGTTAGTATCTTTATCAAAATATATGATTTAATCTAAAAACAAATACCGTTGTCATCACACAAATAAATACAGTTGCTTCAGATGTGTTGAATCACTTCTGTATGCCTTTTAGCATCTATCTCCTGCTTATCAGCAGTGTCAAAACACTATTTTCTTCAGTGCCCTAAATTTTTATCATTGTGTCCTATTCCTACATTCACCTAAACTGCTGATTTTCCTAGACACTGATTGTTTTTCCTTGCTATACTGCAACTTCCCTGAGCAGAGTGCACTGTACTTTGCATAGGTAACTCTTCAAGAAATATGATAAGTGAAAGAAAGAACTTGAAATAGAAAACTGCATATGAAAATCACATGTCGTGATGCCGTTAGAGGAGTGAGTGCTTTATACATAATTGGCCCAGATATACATGAGTGCATGGGGAAAACATAAAGTACCTGTATTCGTGTGTGATAGTTGACCATGTTAACTTGAGTAAGAAATACCTGACTAATTTGGATCAGCATGGTTCTGGGTGTGGCTGAAGAAATTTACTGAAAGTGGAAGACCCACCTTGCATGGGTTTATTGCCTGAACAGTGCAAATGAAGGGAAATGAAGAAGAAACGCTGACTTCTGTTTCTTCAGAGGAGCTCCAGGCTTCCCCTTCACCTTCACCTCGGACAGTGTCCCAGCTTCCAGCACAGACCCGTCCACATCCTGACATGGACTCACTCGGGACACTGGTGAGCTCCATGCCTTTGGCTGGATCCTTCGGATCTTCAGTATGCAGACAGACCTTTTGTGCTCTCCCTTATCTGACTCTGCAGGGGGCCACTGTAACCCAATATTGTAAATCTTATGTATATGAATATTTTGTGTTAAATCTGTTTCTCCAGTTATTCTGTGAAAGAAGCTAGATACAAAGGCTATAGTGTATACTGTTCCATTTGTATGAAAGTTGTAAAAGGGTAAATCCATGGAGACAGAAAGTTGAGTAGTCAGGAAGCCAGCGACAGGGGCAGTAGGAATTACAGGGTACAGAGTTTCAGAAAAAACTTAATGCTACTGAATTAGACTTAAATGGCTCACCTAAAATGGCAAATTTTATGTTATATATAATAAAAATTTGTGTTACATATAAACACACACTAAAGAACTATTTCCACAGGAAATTGAAGGAAGATGAAGTAAGTAGCAAAATTCTAAAAATGGTTGAGTCTGAGTATGTAGAACATGGTTGTTTTTTATAACACTATTCTCTTGTTTGCTTGAAAATGTAATTAAAAAGTAGTATAGAGACAGACATTTAATGTAACAACCCAGCCTCTCTCCCCCTTCTCCCTCCCCTCTAAAACTTGTTTGCTTCCCCAGCTCCTCCAGGAAATGTCCTCCAACCCTGAGTTGGAGCTAACGGTCCTTGATCAGTGTTTCCGAAGCTCACTGCCTGTAACTTACTATAACGTCAAACGTGTTGGTTTAAAGCCAGAACATCTGTATGCAATTTATATTCCCAGAACTTAGATCTAGTACATCAAAAGCATTGTATAAAAGTCTATGAAGGAGTTTCTGTACCAAGGAAAACTCCACTTGCTTTAAACCTGTTTAAAGTTTCTCCAGCTTCACAAACACTGTATGATGGATATTCCTATATAAATTTTTTACTGTACTTTTGCTCTAGGCTGAAAAAAAATGTTTGAGGGAAAGCAATAACATATCTTCCACCTTGGAAAATATCTATTTCTAAACCAGGCATGGTGGTACTTGCCTGTAATTGCAGCTACTCAGGAGACTGAAGCAGGAGAATTGCAAGTTCAAGACCAACTTGGACAACTTAGGGAGACCCCACCTCAAAATAAATTAATAAAAATGGCTTGGCTATAGATCAGAGGTAGAGCACACTGGGTTTAATCTCCAGTAATGGAAAAAAAGATAAATAAAATAGCCATTTCTAGATTTCACCTAAGTAATGTAGGTAAATAATTTTAAGTCTGCAAAGCTTTTGGTAAACAGCAGTGGTTGCCAAGGGGAAAGTGGCAATTATTACTTAATGAATGAAGAGTTTCACTCTGGGAAGTGGAGAAAATTTTTACCTGTGTTTTCCCTCTAGTTCTTATCCTAAAAGACAAGTAGCTGCAGAAACCCATCTGCAGCTGTTTTAGGTGATAACTGTGTTTTCTGTAGTAGGTACCATATTTGTTGCAAATTTTTATCTGTTTTTGCCTCCTGCTCTTTTTGTCCTGTGAATTTACACTTTTAAAAAGCTCTTTTACCTTACTTTAATTGTATGATGAGTCCACTACTGCATGGGCCAACTTCTTATTATTAATGGAAAACAGAAAATCTGCTGGAAACTGCATTTGTTGCTGATCAAGCTACGAAACTCAAAATAATCTCTTGCACACCTAGGTCACACTGTAGGATGTACCTAGTTGTCAGAGGCTATGTTAGCTTTCTGTCAAATTTAACAAGTACCTGAAACAATCAATTTATAAAGAGAAAAGGTTTGTTTTGGCTTCCAATTTGGAGGTTCAGTTCCTGACTGGTTGTCCTCACTGCTTCCAAGCCTGTGGTGAGACAGCGCAGCATGGCAAGTGCAGTGTACACAGCGGAACTGTTCCTCTGGTGGACAGGAAGTGGAAAAGGGGGAAGAAACCAGGATCCCACGATCTCCTCAAAGAGCACACCCCTCGGTAAATTACTGAAAGATCTTCCTGTGACTCCACCTCTGAAGGGCTCTGTGATCTCCCAGGAGTTCCACCCTAAGGACCAAACCTCCAACACATGGCCAGCAACATCTAAAATCCAAACAATAACAGTGTTTTAAAACAATCACTGTAGGGGCTGGGGGTTTAGCTCAGCGACATAAGTGCCTGCCTTGCAAGTGTGCGGTCGTGAGTTTGATCCCTGGTACTGAAAAAGACAAAACTAAATAAATAAATAATCACTGTAGAGCACTCATGCACCTCAACTTTTTAAGAGGTTAGCTCTTCTTGCATGTCTGTTAAACCTTCCTCAACTCTTACTCAGAAACCCCATGTACTGTTTTATCCTTCTGATTACCTGACATCTTTTTTAAAATAGCTTTCATGAGGTATAATTTATACACACTCAATTTCATTCACCTTCAGTATACAGTTCAAATGTTTTTAGTGAATTCATGGACTGTTGTTACCAAAATTGAGTCTTAGAATATTTCCATCACTCTAAAAATATTCATCATGCCTATTTGTTCCTCCCCTCGCCTCACCTAATCCACAATCTAATTTCTGTTTCTCTGGTCTTTTCTGGACATTTCATGTAGATGGAACTGAACAAGATACTGCATAGTTTTTGGTCTGTCTTCTTTTGACTAATAATGATGTTTTGAACATTCATACATGTTTGCAGAATATATTAATTCATTCCTTTTGGGCTGGGGTATAGTTCAGTGGCATAAGTGACTGCCTGGCAAGCACAAGGTCCTGAGTTTGTGTCCCGGTACTAAAAAAAAAAAGCCAAAACCTTATTAACTTAATTCATTCCTTTTAATTTTGAATAGTAGACTCTTGCATGGCTACAATATATGGTACTGTGTTATCCATTCACTAGTTTATGGACATTTGCATTTTCTGCTTCTTGGGTTTTATAAATAACATTGTGAACATTCCTATACAAGTCTGTGTGTGTGTGTTCATTTCACTTGGACAGATAGGTACCTAGAAGTGGAATTACTGGCTATATGATAAACTTATACTTCTTTTTTTTTTTTTTTTGTCTTTTTCCTTTTTATCGGTACCAGGGATTGAACTCACAACTGCACACTTGCAAGGCAGGCGCTTATGCCACTGAGCTAAACCCCCATCCCCAATAAACTTATACTTCTTAAGAAATCAAAACTTTATTCTAAAGTGGCTATACTGTTACACATTTCTTCCAATAAGGTATTAAGGTCCAGTTTCTCCACATCCTCATCAACAATTGTTATTGCCTTTTTTATTAAAACCATTCCAATGAGTGAGAAGTATTATCTCATTGTGCTTTTCATTTGTACCACCCCAATGATTAATGATGTTGAACATCTTTGAATGTGTTTACTGGTCATTTGTGTGTTTTTGTGGTGAAATGTCTATTCAAATATTTTGCCCATTTTTAAAAAACTGAGTTGCTGGCCTTCTTATTGAATTATAGGAATGCATTACATAGCCTGGACATAAATTCTTTATCAGATATATGACTGGTAATTATTTTCTTCTGGTCTGGGGCTTTTCAGTTTCCTAATAGGGTTTTATGAAGGATATTTTTACATTTTTTGAGACAGCATCTCACAAGGCAGTTCAGGTTGGCCTTGAACTCACATTATAGCTCAGGCTGGCCTGGATCTCAGAGCAACCCTCCTGCCTCTGCCTGCCTAGTGCTGGGATTACAGGTATGCACAACCACACCTGGTGATCTCTTTAATTTTAATGACATCCTATTTACCATTTCTCTCTTTTGCTGAACTATAGACTAGTAGCAGAGTCTAGTCTCTATGTTTTAGAATCACAAATAGCTGATTTTTTTAAACAAAAAAAAAAATTAAAACTACAGTTCTCCAGTAAGAACTGTAATTTATATCCTCTATTATGACACTATTATGTCAGGTTCTGTGTTCATGGTAATACCTTAAGTATTTTTGTCAGCTGCCTTTTTCTTTCTTTTATTTTTGTCTTATTAAGGATCAAACTCAGAACGTTACTCATGCTAGGGAAGTCCTCACCAATAAGTTCTTCCTCGTCGCAATAGAAAAGAGCAAAGAAAGGAAGAAAGAAAAAGGCCTTTATTGGGACACAGGAAGGCTACAGTACAGGGCAACATCCCCTGCAGGGCAGACCTAAAGCTTTTATTCAGTTTGACAGGGGAGAGGAGTTTGAAGGGGCGGGCAGTGACGTTTTGACAGCTGATTGGAGGTATGGTGTCGCGCACGCGAGAAGCAGGGAGTTCAATTTTTGGGTGTTGTAGGGTGGCGCTGTCCAGTGCCATGTTGGGCAGGCGCCTCGCTGAGCCTGGCAGCGCTTCACAGGAGCGGACCCATCACTCACCACTTAGCTACACCAAACAGCCATATCAGTTTATTTTAAAGCCAGTAGTTGTAAGCTAGCAACTTGCAGAATTTTTGTTTGTCCTAGATTTTTTTTTTCTCAGTACTGGGTATTGAAATCAGAGCCTTTACACTAAGCTACATCCCTAGTGCTTTGCATTTTGAGACACGGTCTTGCTTTGTCTCTAAATGGTCCATCTTGTGCTCAAACTATCCTCCTGCCTCAGCTCTCAAGAGTGCTGGGCTTATAGGGGTATACCACCACCTTCTCCCACAAATTTATAAAAATAATTTAATACCTATGATTTTTAATTTTTTTCTTTTGGATTTTTTTGAGACAGTGTTTCACAATGTAGTTCAGGCTAGCCTTCAACTTATTATGTATCCCAGGCTGGCCTTGAACTCAGGGTGATACCCCTGCCTCAGCTTCCCAAGTACTTACTTTGTTTTTGAAACAGGGTCTTGCTAGGTAGCCCAGGCTGGCCTCTAACTCTCCTGCTTCAGTCTCCTGTGCGCTGGGGTTACAGGTGTCTGCCACAGTGCCTGGCCTTTGTTTTCTTATTAATGCTTCCTAATACATAAAAGTTAATAGACTGGCTGGCTGTGTTGGTGCACACCTGTAATTCCAGTTACTTAGGAGGCTAAGGCAGGAGTATTACAAGTTCCAAGCCAACCTGGGCAATTTAGCAAGAACCTATTTCAAAACAAAAAATAAAGGACAGAGGGCCAGGGATGTAGCTCAGTGGTAGAGCACCAACCTAGCACAAGTGTCCAAGTCCCCAGCCACCAACCCTGTTATATCTGCATCCTTGGGAAAAATAACCAAGATAACACTCAATAATCTGGAGATTTAATTTGAAAACCTCATTTTGGGGGGGGGTGCCAGGGACCGAACAAAAACCTCATTTTCTAATGAGCTAATCCAGAAACCCTAGTATAAGTTCAAAATTGGCAAGTGTACTGTCAGCTTTCACCAAGTATAATATCAGTATCAAACTAATATTTTATTTACGTTTTCTAGTGAGCAGACAAGTAGGACAGATTTTGTGCACAGAATCAAGGTTGTACCTGCCTCCCTACTTCCTGTGCAACTATGTTGCTCAAGTCTGGTGATGGCTCAGGTAGAAGATTCCAGTACTGGGGGCTTGGTACCATTTAACTGGAAGGTGAGAGAGTGGCTGTATCTTTGTTTTTTCAAAGAACTTGCTTGTTTTTGAGGCAGTGCATTGCATTGTGTCCTGTTTCTTTGTGTGTCAAGGGCTGGCAGCAGACCTTATTTTGGCTCATTTTTGCCAATCTTATGTGTACCCATGGCAATTTTTTTTTTTTTTTTTTTGTATTTTTGAGGCAGGGTCTCACTTTGCAGTACAGGTTGGCCTTGAGCTAACTTTATAACCCAGGCTGGCCTCGACCTCACAACGATCCTCCTGCCTCAGCCTCTCGAGTACTGGGATTACAGGTGTGCACCACCATGCCCAGCTAGCAGCAGGTCTCATTTTGAACACCTACATTTAGCTTCTCTTGAGCAATATGATACTGGCAGTACTGAGCTTGTTTTGTCTTGTGGTAGCTGAGTTATGACTGTTCCCAGTAGAGGGAGGTAAAGTAGCTCTGTTGCCTTTCTACTGCTGTGAAAGAACACTTAAGATAGTCAACTCACAAGGAGAAAAGACTTCTTTTGGCTCACAGTCTGAGAGGTTTCAGCCCGTGGTTGCTTGCCCCAATACTTTGGGCCTGCTGCACAACATCACAGTGGGGAGCACGGGGAGGGGGGACAAAGGTGGTGCTCACCTCACAGTAACTGGGAAACAACCCAAGAGGCTGAATTCTGGATGTCCCCTTCCATTGTCCCTGCAATGACCTCATGTCCTTCCAAGGGGCCTCATCTCCAGAAGGTTCCTCCACCTCTCCACAGTGCCACAGGTTGGTAATCAAGCTTTTAACATACGAGCCTTAAAGGACATTCCAGGTCCCAACTACAGAAAGAATGATAACCTAATCTAAGGTGCATGGATTGCAAAGCTTCTGCTGCAAAGCTGCAAAGCTTCTGCCGACAAGCTGGTAAAGCAGTTATTCAATAAATTAAAGCTGTTCTTTTTAATGATATATTTCTTCAAAGGTGCAGGATTAAAAGGGAGAAAACTGGGAACAGAGCTGGGATTTGTCCATGGGTTTGGTTTTTGGAAGGATATATTATAATGAAAGGCCGTGCGTGGGCCATCAGTTTGCATGCACAGCACACGGTTCGGAGGTGGTTCTGGAGCTGGCTTGTCTAGATTTGAATCCTGGGCCTCAGGCTCCATAATGTTTTGTGTCTATGTTTTGTCATTTATGAAGAGGGGACAATAATAGTGCAAACTAAATAGTTCACACTAATAATAGTTGGGACAATAGTAGACTTGAGTTTTGAGTTTAATGTATAGAAAGTTGCTTAGAATAACATTAGACTGATCCTAAGCATTGCACATGTTGGGTTTTTATTTTTAAGATAAGTCTACATGACAGCAGTGTTTCGCTCCTTGAATAGTCTGAGTCATGGAAATCTCTCTAGCTGAAGGGACACATTTGCTTTCTTATTTGCATTCCAATTCTTGTCAGTGTGTGAGCCTCACTTCAGGTACTGCTGAATCAAGTGATCAGGCCACATGGGAACAAAAAAGCTGATCTGGTACCTCGAGGAACCTCTGCAGCAAGACTCCAGGAACTCCACCAAGAACAAGTCCCAGTTACCCTTGGTACTGCCATTTTTATCTATGTGCATCTACTCCCACCACCAAGTTTCTTACTTCACTCTACCCTGAGTCTCTCCTCCCCCTCACAGCCACTTCCTTCTCACGCTTTCTCTCTCATCCCTTTGGCATGCTCATGACCCACCATGACTCTAGTGACCTGGCTGCATCTCAGCTGGGTCATCATGGCCAGCTGCTCTGAATTTGTAACTCAAATTCCCAAGGTTGTTGAGACAGCCTCATAAAGTGAGTGAGTTGGATGAGTTGCCCCTGCCTTGCTAGTGGATGGGAAAACTGAAGCCACAGAGCTTCAGTGTCATCGCCTAGAGTTTTCAGAGATTTCAATGACAATCATCAGCCAGCTGTGGCACACATGCCATAGATTTGCTGCCACTGGCCTAGTCTAGGCCCCAGAGATTCCCCTTCAGTTGGGAGGTATGAGCAAAAATTCCAGTGACTATTTAAAGTTAAAAAAAAAAAACTGCTACAGGAAAAGACACATTGCCTTGAATCCCCCTCAAAATATTTCCCCTCACTTTGAATACACTTCTTATCGTTTTCTAGAGCAGTTCTAGAAAACCTCTTCTGTGAGTGCCTTTGATTGCAATGCCATGGCTGCAATCAAAGGTGTACTGAATCAGTTCAAAATATTTACTTTTTATGATTTTTTAACTGATTGTTCAATTTATTTTATTATGTTTATTTTTATTTATAGACAGAATCTGACTATCTCATGGTCATTTTGATGCTAGAGAAAAACCAGAAGCTGCATGTACCAAATCCAGTAAATAAGGTGTATAAACCTATACTGTAATGTTTTTTATTTGACAAAAATTGCTGTAAATATTTTGAATCATTTTAGGACACTGAGGCACAAAAAGATACAAAAGAAGAGACCAGAATGGTCTCTAAAAGTGTCAAAAATGCAGGGATAAGTGTGTTTAAAATGAGGGGAGTATTTTGAGGGGGGTGGGGAATTAATGGCAATGTATCTGTGTTGGTAGCTTTTCTTTTGATAACCTATATATAAAAAACCCCTCATAAGTCTCCTCAGAGGCAAGAAAAAGATCAAAGGTAACTCTAAGAGCAGAACAGGATGTCTTCCTAATCTAAACTTGCTTGTTTGCAGGGAAACTTGCTTGTTTGCAGGATGTGCCTTCCCCCAGAGGATGTTTGCTAATCTAAACTTGCTTGTTAACCCAACCCTTACCTGAACCTTGCTCTTCCCCCAAAAAATGTAATCACCATGTTCCTGTTTTGTAGTGCGCCACAAACCCACCCCCCTCCTTGTATTGTGAGACCAGCAGTTGTTTGTGGTTTTACAAGATAAAACCCTGCCCTTTAGCTGTTAGGCACACAGTCTTCCATATTGGCTACCGGAGGCTGCGTCGCCAGGCCTGGCCTAAAATAAAGCCTTTGCTCCAAATTTCTTAATGTCTTGCTTCCTTGGATTTTATTCCAGGGTCTGAACTATCACATTCTCTCATTGCTGGGACAAAATACTTGATGCCAAAATTAAAGAAGGTAAGGTTTATTCAGCTCACAGTTTGTGGAGGTTTCGATACGTAATCAGCTATCTCCAAGGCAGGGTGGCATGGCACAGGGGCAACACTTCAAGGTGGCAAAAGACACCACAAGCAGAAAGAGCAAAAGAGGTGAGAGCAAGCCCCTTTTCCTCCCTCATATTGTAAGCAGGTTACCTGCCCTCTAGGGCCAGTGTAGCACTCACACTATGGCCATGCCCTGCTCTTGCAAAGGAAGAGGATGTTTACAAAGTGGGAACCCTGGTGCTCTGCTGAGTGACTCAGTTAAACTTCCAAACTTCTCAGGTTGACACAATGAATCAACCATTATGCCACTGGGGGTAGGGTACTGGTACTAGGAATCACACTCAGGACATGGCACTTGCCAGGCAGGCGCTGTGCCACTGAGCTATATCCCTGGCCCTATTACCTCATCTCTTACTGTAATACATTTTTTAATTTAAACATTCACTATTGTTTTAAATCACATGTGTGTTCTGGCACAAAGATTAAGTATCCAATGTGAACATCAGAGGTAGGGCTGCCAGTAAGACAGCACTCAGGGAAGGTTGTCTTTTTGTTCAGCCTTCTCCATAAAACAGAATGGGGGGGGGAGATTATGAAGCTGGCTGATACAGTTATGAAGTCGCATTATCTGTGGTTTGTAAGCTAGAGAACCAGAAGAGAACCTACTATAAATTTGTCTGAGTCACAAGGAGGAACTGACGGTATTACTCCCAGTCCAAAACCGAAGACTGAGAACTAAGGACAGAAGCCACTGAGAATCAGGAGTCTAAGAACTGGGTGAAATCACACTTCCCCTGCCTTTAACAAAAGTTGGATAGCATGACGCCTTCAACTTTGGTAGGCTACATCATTTTTTCTCAGTCTATTTAAATCCTCATCTTTTTCTGAAACACCCTAACAGATGCACCCAGAAATGTTTTAACAGTCTCTGGAAATCCCTTAGTCCAGCCAAGTTGTGTGAAAGGTGTGAGAGGAGCTGCCCAGATCTTCCTGGTATATACAAAAGCAATGGCAACCGATAGACATCCACAATGTACTGCCCTGTACTTTAGTCACAATATTATTTTAAACCTGTTATTTAGTCACACTATTATGTTACATCTTATTTACTTTATTTCTTTACAGAATTTGCTAAATGCTAACCTGTTTTAAGAGCTTTATATGTATCACTGGTAGCTCATTAAACTTGCACAACAGTTCTATGTGTTTGGTTTTTTTTTTTTTCTTTTTTTTGGTACTGGGGATCGAACTCAGGACCTCATACTTGCCAGGCAGGCCCTTAAGCCACTGAACTAAATCCCTAGCCCTAGTTTTTTGTTTTGTTTTGTTTTGTTTTTATGAAGCAGGGTCTCAGTGGGTAGCTCAGCCTAGCTAGAAATCACAGTGATCCTCCTGCTTCAGCCTCCCAAGTGCTGGGATTACAGGCATGGCCACCATGCCCAGTATGCCTTTGGTATTATTGCCTGTACTTCATAGATAAAGAAACTGGAGGACAGAGAAGTACCCCATCTCAGGTCACAAAGTGAGAAGCGGCAGAGACATGATTTGACACAGGCAGCCTGAGTTCTGACAGTCCTATATCAACCATTATAGCCTCAGGCTACCTGACCAGCCGGAGCTTCCTAGAAAAGTGTAATTTGATTTTCTTGCAGCCTTCCTCTAACTTCATGTGGAAAGAACATTCAAAATTTTGTTTTTTCCCCTACTTTTTATTTAGAATAAAGTTTTGTTTGTTTTCTGGTATGGGAGGGAAGGAGACAGGGAGGGAGGAAAGCAGGAGGGAGGGAGGGAAGGAGGGAGGGAGGAAGAGAGAGAGAGAGAAACTATAACAGTGGAAAGGACTGAGCCAGGCGTGATGATACACACCTGTGATCTCAGCCCAGGAGAGGCTGAGGCAGGAGAATTGCCGTGAGTTCAAGGCCAGCCTGAACTAAAACCCTGTCTCCCAAACAAACAAACAAACCCAACCAAGTAAAAATAAATCTAGACTCAAACATTTATCTCCGCATGACCCACCTTTCTGATTCTTAGTTTCCATATGTATAAAATTTAAGATTGCTGGGGGTATTGTATGGGATACTGTATGTAAAAAGCCTGACACAGTACATATTAAGTGCTCATTATAGAAGTTACTATTGTTGGGACGGATGAAAAAAATTATTGCCCTGGCAATCAAAAATGAGTAGACTTCAAAGGGCCACATAGCTCAGTGGCACACTGCTTGCCTGGCAAGTGTGAGGCCCTGAGTTAGATTTCCAGTACAAAAAAACAAAAAACAAAAACAAGGCCATAGAAGGTCTTAGGACCACAATGAATCCCAGGAGGTTTGACTGCTGTTGGGTGTCTGAGCTGGACTTGATACACTAGATACTGCACTATTGCCACAATATTGCCTTGCCACGTTAGACATCTCTAATTGATGACAGCAATGCTTCATGTTGGGTCCAGGACCCTTTTCAGAATTTCTCAAGACAAGGAGTTCTGATCAGTGGGAATTGGTCCAGGAGATAGAACCCGTTTGATGTCTCTCCTTCAAGACCAGTGGCCACTTAAGCCATTCAATCAGTAGCTTACCCCAAAATGACTTTGTTCGTTTCTAGTCTTTTCTTGGTCTTGTGACATGTCAGGTTTGAAAGAAGTTGCCAGAGGTGACTCTGGTAATCTCTGCAGTTATCTGAGAGATTATTTCCAATTTCATTTTTTTTTCCAGAGTCTCATTCAATTGCTTTGCTTTTCCTACTTCAAAGAGACCTGGTGGGGGGCTTTGGGTTGTCCTCCTCATTGCCCCTGGATTTGCCTTTTGTGAACTGGATGTCTGAGGTTGCATTTTGCTTAAGTGTCTTCTCATTTTATTTTCTCTTTTTTAAGTTTAATTCCTGGGGTGATGCTTGAAAGTTGCCTACAGTGGGTTGCTTTACTGGTAGTATTTAGGACCCTAGGTGATGACTACTTCTCTGAGGTATCTTCCAGGGGCAGTTGGTTTTTGGGTTTTGAGTCTGTCGGAAGATCTGACCTCTTCAGTTGGTTGGAGATGAGAAGTTGTTGCTCATTTTCCCTATTCCCTGATTCTGCGGCACTATGCCACTGTATTTTCTGTGACCCTTATTTAATCTCTGTCATAGATTGCCAGTGATACAATTTTCGGCATGGCTAAAAAGATAGAAATATGAGATAAAAGTGGCCTTTGTTTTAAGAATATGGAGAGAGACTCCATGACCTCCGGGGTCTGGCTTTCTCTCCACCGGACACATCGTGTGGGACATACATGGAGCTTAGGTTTGGGGTGGTGCCTAAGGGGCATTACTGATGTATAGGTAGCCCATTGGAATTCATTTCACGCCACAGATAAATTGCTTAGGAGGGGGGAAGGTGACCTTTTGCCTCCCAGTGCTGCAGCATCCCCTTTAGGGCAAAATCCTTTCAATCAGGACCAACAGTGCCAGCCAGTGCCATACTCCACGTCCATCCTCCACGTCCGATGCTCCCCTCCACAGCCACACTTCTCTGCAGAGGCCTCCACGGTCACCTATTGTAAACCCAAAATTCGAATTCAGTCACCTGAGTATTGTAATCCTCTTTCTAGTCTTCCTCACAATCCAAAAAGTTGTATTTGTAAGCCCATTGAGATGTTATTGGAACCCCAGCCGGTCAATTCCAATCTACCACTACTAGTGCAATCCATGGTGAGAGTAAAAACACAAAGGCATATTCCAAGTTAAGGGCAGCCAAGGGGTCCTAAGTCCATTTCCCGTGAGGACATGTGGACAAAGGCCTCAATACTAGGCCTCTTCCAGCATTTATTCTCTTGTGAAAAAAGGAGAGGTCGCTCAGGGATGAGTGATAATCAGGATGTTGGGGTTTACTGAGTAACTTAAGCTGGCTGGCCAGGTGCAAGAATGGCATCTCTGTAATTTGCAGAGATAAGGATATGCAGAAGGATCAATTTATATAACCCAATTAAGGTAATAGTGGAATTGTTTTGGGGGGTTATCACTTCAGTTTCTGATATGCAAACTCTTGTGCCCTGGTGTCATGGTTTATGTCTGTGGCCCCCAGGCCTCATGAGTTTGAATTGTGCATTTGTTATTTGTTCATTGTCTAGTGCTTGGATTGATGGTGTCAGTGCTCCACGCACAAAGGGGTGAAGCCAGGATGTGATGTAATGGCAGGAAGAAGGTGTGTCTTGCTCTTGCTGGTTCCTGCTTGTTGTTTGCAGCCGCCCTGAACTGCAGCCCAGCCATGCCCGCCTGCCTTGGAGCCAACTGAGTGTGGACTGAAACCTCCAAAAACTGTAAGAAATAAACCTTTCCTTTCCCAACTTGGGCTTCAGGTATTTTGTCTCAGCAACAAGTAAAAAGTAACTAAGACACCTGGGGAATCATAGCCTCTTATCTTGAGGCTCATACCCAGTTGCCATTCCTGGAGCTGTTTGCTCTAATATCTCACCAGCTCAATCCTGTATATGGAGAGCACCACGTGAGGAAACAGGAGTGTCTAATGGCTATAGATTTTGCATATTAGCACCTCAGCTAGCCTTGTTTGCAAAACTCAGTGCCAACTGAAGAAAAGGAAATACCCTAGCCAGCCTTTCACATGTCAGTATAAGGAAATGAGTCTCCAAGCAATCAAAGTCACAGTAATTGTTTTGGATCCAAAGGGAATCGCTGGAGCTGTCTCTCACATGTGTGATGGCTGCACATTAGCACCTGGGCTAGCCTTGTTTGCCATGCTCAGAGTTAATTGAAGAGAAGGAAATACCCTAGCCACTCCTTTACATATCAGTATAAGGAAATGAGTCTCCAAATATTCAAAGTCACAGTAATTGTTTTGGATTCAGAGGGAATCACTGGAGTTGTCTCCCACAGTCACCAGCTGTCACCATCACTGTGACCATGCACCCCCAGGTTTGAACAGCTCCTCTTGCTCAGTGAGTCCTGTCTCAGGGAGAAGATGCCGCCAGCTACGGCCTTCTTCATTGAAGTTTTTCTTTGTGCTCTCTCTGTGGGCTTCAATTCACACTTCAGATTCTTCCTGGGTCCAGGGGCCCCACTTCCTTCCTTCCTTGTCTTCCTCACAATGCTCTATTTCAGTGTCTGGATGGTGGCTCTCAGAGAGGCTGTTTTTTCTGCTAACGCTTTGCCATCTTCTTGAAAGTCCCCAAAGGTGACTGTGAATGTGAGCCTTTGTGAGACTCAGCAGGAAGAAACATCTAAACCTGTCAGTCCTAAGAAGGACCTGGACTTTGACATTGTGGAACTCAGAGACAGGAAAGAAGGTGAGATACACACTTGGTGCAGGGAGTCACAGCAAGCAAAGACTGATTGGTCTACATGAGATCTCTGAGTGACTGCTGCAATCTGCCCAAGTTCTCCGCGTGAATACCCTTGTTTTGAGGCCCAATCAGATCTCAGTCCCATATTTTTCTCATTTCTCTTGCACAACCTTTTGAGTTCTGAGAATCTTTATCACTTAGGCCACCACCCAGTTGTGAGTGAAGTGCACTTTCTGGTTCTACTTGGCACTACAGTGCAGTGCAGACATGAAAGCATTGAGAATATGTGCAAACCGCTTACACCAGTAGGAGAGGTAAGTTTCTCTTTTCTGTAAAATTATTTTTAAAAATCAAATGTGAAAATTGGGCTGGGGATTTAGCTCAGTGGTGTAAGCGCCTGCCTGGCAAGTGCGAGGTCGTAAGTTTGATCCCTGGTACCAAAAAAAAAAAAAAAAAAAGAATATTAATAAGAAAATTAAAAATAATAAAAATCATATTCTACTATGTAAAGTCTGCCACTACTAGCATATTGATAAGCTTTCTTCTCCTCTATTTTCTTTGTATAAATATGCATGTAAACATTTTTAAATGAAGCTGAGCATGATTTTCATGCCTGCAATCCTAGCACTCAGAAAGTTGAGGCAGGAGGACCAACATGAATTTAAGGCCAACCTGAGCTACATTGCTGGTTCAAGGTCAGCATGAACTACATAGTGAGACCACATCCTGAAAAAATTTTTTAATGATATTATGTTATCTTGTTTTAGGTCAAAACTCTGTATAACAGAGATATTTAGTTTATTTCAGTAGTTGTTAAATCTTGAACTGTTAGGACTTGTAACAAATCTCTGTGTGTATCTTTGTACGTCTAAAAATACATCCCTAAATTATTTCCTGATGGCAGTATTTTGTGCGGTTGGTTGGTTTTGGTGTTTTGCTTTTGTTTTTTGAGATAGGGTCTATGTCATTCAAGTTGGCTTTGAACTCACTGTGTAGCACAGGCTGGTCTCAAATTCCCAGCAATCCTCCTGCCTCAGCCTCCAGAGTGCTGAGATTACCACTGTGCCAGTCCGATGGTAGTTTTCTTTTCTTTCTTTTTTTTTTTTTTTTTTTTCTGGTACCAGGGATCAAACTCACGACCACGCGCTTGTAAGGCAGTGCTTATGCCGCTGAGCTAAATCCCCAGCTCTCCACGGTAGTTTTTAAAGCTGGTGAACTATGCTGCCAAACTGCAAGATTCTTCTGTAAACCTAGATATTTGCTCTCAACTTGTGTTTTTCAAGATTGGTAGAAGAATTTTGTGGATTTTTTCAAACAAATATTACATGGAGGGGCTGGGGATTTAGCTCAGCGGCATAAGCGCCTGCCTTGCAAGCAGGCAGTCGTGAGTTCAATCCCCGGTACCGATAAAAAAGAAAAAAGACCAAAAAAAAAAAAAATATTACATGGAAATCCATTATATAAAAACAAACATGGCTGCTATAATGGAAAGATCTGGAGCCCTTAGTACCATCCTCAGCTGTTCATACTCCTCTACTTTCCCATGCCATCCCCCCTCTCCACTAATATAAGTGGTTCTTTATATTGCATCTCCTAGATCAGCAATGAAACTTTACCATCTGTTACAGTTAAGAGTATCAGTTTCAGCTACAGGTTGTACAGAAAATCCCATTGGGCCGCTCTAACAGTAAAGACAATGTCAATGTCTCCCTATCCAAATCCATAGGAAGAGTGGTTTCTAGATTGTTTGATTCAGCAGCTCACTGATTAGCACCAAGGATTAGATTCTTTCCATTTGGGACGCTGTCTTCCTCAGTGTGGAGAGTACTCAGACCCTTCACAGTCACAGGATGACCACAGCAGCAGCCAACACTGCATCCCAGCACAGCCCTAGCAGGGGTGGAGAAGGCATAGCCATAGCCTTCCCTCACATTCCTTCTGGAGAGTGAGGAAGGCTCCCAGCTGACTCCCCTTATTTCCCATTAGCCACACTGATGACATCTGTCCATTTCGTTGCCAGTAACTGCAGCACCATGATTGGTTACACCAATCAGAATTCATCTACTAGAGTTGAGGAAGGGGTATTTATTTTATTTGTATTATTATTATATTATATTATTATTATTACTGGGAATCAAATTCAGGACTTTGCACTTACAGGCAGGCACTGTGCCACAGAGCTATATCCCCAGCCCTGAGGAAGGGTTTTTAACCTTTCTTGTAACCTGTTAAAAATTCACATCTGAACAACAGACAGATTCTGTTGTCAAGGGAAGAGGGAAAAAAATGGACAGTTGTCTGCCACAGCATTCTACTAGGAAATATGCTGAAAAGTCAATATCAAAATCCCAAGGTATGGCCTTGAGCAAGTTACTTAACTGCTCTGGACCTGTTTCCTTATTTGTAAAATGGGATTTTATAATAAATCAGGTGTAGATAAGACATGGTTGCTGCTTATCTACTTTACAGGGTTATAGAGAAGGATAAATGAGATTGAATGTATGAAATAATTTTACAAAGCACTTTACTAATATCAAAGCTTGTTACTAATCTAATTCTTTTTTAAAATTTAAAATTTTATTTTAAAGAGATTAAGACAAAAGAGGACAGAACAAGCAGATCAGAACAGAACAATGTAAGCAACACAGCACTTCACAAGACAGCCGGATTTTAACAGTGGCTACTATATTATCTCATTTTCCATGAAAAATTGGTTTATATTATCACACATATTAAAATCCAATAAGACACAACATGAAAAAAACCAGTGGAAACAGAAGAACAAAAGCACGGTAGGACTTCAAAGCAAGATGATATTAAATCAGCAATGGCTGCCATAATGTCTTGTTTTCTTCAAAATAGCTATTCATGCCATCACACATAATACAATAAAACAAAACAGAATAAAACCATTCCAACTAATGAATGAAAACATAAGGCTTCAAAGCAATGTAATGGGGAGTCATGATTACCATAAAATCTTATGTTCTCTTACCATTTCTTACACTAAGGAGACTATACAGTATTTACACATGTGAATTTGATTTATTTTGCTTATGAATATGGTCTCAAGTTGCATCCATTTATTTATAAAAATCTCAATGTGATCATTCATTATAGCTGAGTAGCACTCCATTGTATAAAAATACCACATCTTTTTTATCCATTCCTCAATTGATGGACACTTAGGTTGTTTCCAAGATCTGGCTATTACAAATTGTGCTGCTATAAACATGGGTGCACATATATCACTG